AAACATGGATCCTAAAAATCGTAAAGATCTGAAGGATACTTTCTTTTTATATTTATATAGATCCTAAAACACCAGAAGTTTGAACTCCCTAATGAGTATCTAATAAATCTTATAAATCTTAGAAATTGTAAAGATTCCAGAGATTCCAAATATTCCAGGGATTTAGATACTCTTGAAAACTATAAATTTTGGAAAATCTAGAAAAATTCGGAAAGTGGTAAAAATGTGGGAGTCTTGGAAATTTCGAAAAAGGTTAAATTTCAAAATTCTGGCATAACAACTAGAACTTCATAATTTTAAAAATTTCGGAAAATTTGGAAAATCTGAGGATTTTGTGTATTTTAGAATCCGAGAAATCTGAAATATCTGAAAATTCTAGAACTTTTGAAAATTTTTTAAATTATATAATATATAAAATACAAAAGTTTACACAATTTTAGTTTGTAGAGATTCTAAAGATTCCAAAGTTTCCAAAGGTTTAAAAAATTTCAAAGCTTTCAAATCTTAAAGATTCCATACACTAGAAATTTCAAATTATAAATATGCCAAAGATTCTGAACAAACTGCGGTTCTAAGGTTCTAAATTGAAGAAAGATACAGCAAAATTTTAGAAATTGTAAAAATCTTGGAGGTAATAATGGTTGTAGAAATTCTAAAAATTCTATAATGTATAAAACTTGTATTAATTCGAAAGTGTCCAAAATATCCAAAGATTGGAAAGGTTCCAAAGAGTCTCAAGATTAAAAACTCTAATATTCTAAAGATTTTAAACGCTCTGAAGAATCTAAAGACTTTAAAGACTCCAAGGACTCAAAAGTTAAAATTGTTTTTAAAAATTCTATGTATATTTTATAAAATTTCTAGTGATTCTAATTCTTAAAAAAAAAAAATCGCCGGAACTCTTAAAATGCCAAAGATTTTAAAAGTTCTAAATAAAACAAATATTCTAAAAAACTGAAGAATGTTTCCTTTAATCTTACCTTAATTAGTAATTATGAAATGTAAAATTAACCTATAAATGTCAGAGATTCTAAAAAATCCAGAAATTCAGAAAATTCCAAAAATTTAGAGACTCTTAGTGCCTGCCTATAAATTTTAGAACATCTGGAAATATCTAGAAAGTGTTGAATCCTGGTATATCTGAAGAGTGATATTTTTATAAAAATAATAATACCCAAACTTTAAAAATTAAAAATTCAGTTCTGCCATTTTTTAAAATGGAAGATTTCATTTTATATATAATTTTTTAGTCAGCTTGCCTGAAATGGAACACCTATTTTTTGGAGAGTATGTCATTTGCCAATAAAAGATCTGCCAAAATCAGGACTATCTTAGCAAGTAGTGAACCCGCCCACCCACCCTCCTCTCATTCTGACGACAAATTTTATTCCTGTTTAGCATACGCTCCACCTTTTATTCAGAGCAGATAAAATAATTACCGAAATGGAGACGGGGTGGGTGGGCGGGGTAAATTTTTTTTTTCTGTAGAGTGGAATTGAGAAATAATAGTACCTAGACTCTAAAAATTAAAAATTCAATTCTGCCATTTTTAAAAATGGAAAATTTCATTTGATGTATAATTTTTTAGTCAGCTTCCTCAAATGGAACACCTCTATTTTTTAGAGAGTATGGCATTTGCCAATAAAAGGTCTGCCAAAATCAGTCCTATATTAGCAAGTAGTGACCCCGCCCACCCACCCTCCTCTCATTCTAACGACAAATTTTATTCCTGTTTAGTATACGTTCCATCTTTCATTCAGAGCAGATAAAATAATTACTGAAATAGAGACGGGGTGGGTGGGCGGGGTAAATTATTTTTTCTTCTGTAGAGTGGAATTGAAAAATAATAGTACCCAAACTTTAAAAATTAAAAATTCAGTTCTGCCATTTTTTAAAATGGAAAATTTCATTTTATGTATAATTTTTTAGTCAGCTTGCCTCAAATGGAACACCTCTATTTTTTGGAGAGTATGTCATTTGCCAATAAAAGGTCTGCCAAAATCAGTCCTATATTAGCAAGTAGTGGCCCCGCCCACCCACCCTCCTCTCATTCTAACGACAAATTTTATTCCTGTTTAGCATACGTTCCACCTTTCATTCAGAGCAGATAAAATAATTACTGAAATGGAGACGGGGTGGGTGGGCGGGGTAAATTATTTTTTTTTCTGTAGAGTGGAACTGAAAAATAATAGTGCCCACATTTAAAAAATTAAAAATTCAGTTCTGCCATTTTTTAAAATGGAAGATTTCATTTTATATATAAATTTTGAGTCAGCTTGCCTCAAATGGAACACCTCTATTTTTTAGAGAGTATGTCATTTGCCAATAAAAGGTCTGCCAAAATCAGTACTATCTTAACAAGTAGTGACCCCGCCCACCCACCCTCCTCTCATTCTAACTACAAATTTTATTCCTGTTTAGCATACGTTCCACCTTTCATTCAGAGCAGATAAAATAATTACTGAAATGGAGACGGGGTGGGTGGGCGGGGTAAATTATTTTTTCTTCTGTAGAGTGGAATTGAGAAATAATAGTACTTAGACTGTAAAAATTAAAAATTCAATTCTGCCATTTTTTAAAATGGAAAATTTCATTTTATGTATAATTTTTTAGTCAGCTTGCCTCAAATGGAACACCTCTATTTTTTAGACAGTATGTCATTTGCCAATGAAAGGTCTGCCAAAATCAGTCTTATCTTAGCAAGTAGCGACACCGCCCACCCACCCTCCTCTCATTCAGACGACAAATTTTATTCCTGTTTAGCATACGTTCCACCTTTCATTCAGAGCAGATAAAATAATTACTGAAATGGAGACGGGGTGGGTGGGCGGGGTAAATTATTTTTTCTTCTGTAGAGTGGAATTGAGAAATAATAGTACCCAAACTTTAAAAATTAAAAATTCAGTTCTGCCATTTTTTAAAATGGAAAATTTCATTTTATATATAAATTTTTAGTCAGCTTGCCTCAAATGAAACACCTCTATTTTTAGAGAGTATGTCATTTGCCAATAAAAGGTCTGCCAAAATCAGTCCTATATTAGCAAGTAGTGACCCCGCCCACCCACCCTCCTCTCATTCTAACTACAAATTTTATTCCTGTTTAGCATACGTTCCACCTTTCATTCAGAGAAGATAAAATAATTACTGAAATGGAGACGGGGTGGGTGGGCGGGGTAAATTATTTTTTCTTCTGTAGAGTGGAATTGAGAAATAATAGTAACCAAACTGTAAAAATTAAAAATTCAGTTCTGCCATTTTTTAAAATGGAAAATTTCATTGTATGTATAATTTTTTAGCCAGCTTGCCTCAAATGGAACACCTCTATTTTTTAGAGATTATGTCATTTGCCAATAAAAGGTCTGCCAAAATCAGTCCTAGATTAGCAAGTAGTGACCCCGCCCACCCACCCTCCTCTCATTCTAACGACAAATTTTATTCCTGTTTAGCATACGTTCCACTTTTCATTCAGAGCAGATAAAATAATTACTGAAATGGAGACGGGGTGGGTGGGCGGGGTAAATTATTTTTTCTTCTGTAGAGTGGAATTGAGAAATAATAGTACCTAGACTGTAAAAATTAAAAATTCAATTCTGTCATTTTTTAAAATGGAAAATTTCATTCTATGTATAACTTTTTAGTCAGCTTGCCTCAAATGGACCACCTCTATTTTTTAGAGAGTATGTCATTTGCCAATAAAAGGTCTGCCAAAATCAGTCCTATATTAGCAAGTAGCGACCCCGCCCACCCACCCTCCTCTCATTCTGACGACAAATTTTATTCCTGTTTAGTATACGTTCCACCTTTCATTCAGAGCAGGTAAAATAATTACTGAAATGAAGACGGGGTGGGTGGGCGGGGTAAATTATTTTTTCTTCTGTAGAGTGGAATTGAGAAATAATAGTACCTAGACTGTTAAAATTAAAAATTCAATTCTGCCATTTTTTAAAATGGAAAATTTCATTTTATGTATAATTTTTTAGTCAGCTTCCTCAAATGGAACACCTCTATTTTTTAGAGAGTATGTCATTTGCCAATGAAAGGTCTGCCAAAATCAGTCCTATATTAGCAAGTGGTGACCCCGCCCACCCACCCTCCTCTCATTCTAACGACAAATTTTATTCCTGTTTAGTATACGTTTCACCTTTCATTCAGAGCAGATGAAATAATTACTGAAATGGAGACGGGGTGGGTGGGCGGGGTAAATTATTTTTTCTTCTGTAGAGTGGAATTGAGAAATAATAGTACTTAGACTGTAAAAATTAAAAATTCAATTCTGCCATTTTTTTAAAATGGAACATTTCATTTTGTATATAAATTTTTAGTCAGCTGGCCTCAAATGGAACACCTCTATTTTTTGGAGAGTATGTTATTTGCCAATAAAAGGTCTGCCAAAATCAGTCCTATATTAGCAAGTAGTGACCCGGCCCACCCACCCTCCTCTCATTCTGACGACAAATTTTATTCCTGTTTAGTATACGTTCCACCTTGCATTCAGAGCAGATGAAATAATTACTGAAATGGAGACGGGGTGGGTGGGCGGGGTAAATTATTTTTTATTCTGTAGAGTGGAATTGAGAAATAATAATACCTAGACTGTAAAAATTAAAAATTCAATTCTGTCATTTTTTAAAATGGAAAATTTCATTTTATGTATAATTTTTTAGTCAGCTTGCCTCAAATGGAACACCTCTATTTTTTAGAGAGTATGTCATTTGCCAATAAAAGGTCTGCCAACATCAGTCCTATATTGGCAAGTAGTGACCCCGCCCACCCACCCTCCTCTCATTCTAACGACAAATTTTATTCCTGTTTAGTATACGTTCCACCCTTCATTCAGAGCAGATGAAGTAATTACTGAAATGGAGACGGGGTGGGTGGGCGGGGCAATTTTTTTTTTATGTAGAGTGGAATTCAGAAATAATAGTACCAAGACTAGTAATATACGTGTTGATGACGTCATCGCAATTTTTTTTAATGCAACCTATTTTTTTTGGTTGCAGAACCGCTGCCAACAGTACCAAACTACCATTACGCGCCTCAACAATGAAATCTTAACGCTAAGGCAACAGCTAGCACAAGTCAGTAGCGAAACAAATCCGGAGGAGATCCTCCAAGCGCACGCTGCAGCTTTACATCGACACGCCGAAGAGTCTCGCAAGCAGTATGAGCGCTGTCTAGACGACGTGGCCAACCAGGTCGTCAAAGCCCTACTAGCACAAAAGGTAGCAAAAATAGTGAGCCAGAACCCCCACTACTACATTTTCATTGTTCAGGGTTTACGAGAAGAAGTTGGTGCTTTAAACAACAGGATACACGAACTCGAATCGCAAAATCGAGCGCTTACTTCAATGCTAGTGCATCAGTTGAGAGGAGAAACTACCCCTCCTGAAGAAATCGTAGCCAAACCTCCCACGCCTTCAGAGGAAACTAGCACCGCTGTCAAACATTACAATTCATTTAATTCCGAAGTTCTTGAGGAAGATAACGATAATTGCGACAACAGTAACGAAACGGCGCTATCGAAGTTTGAAAGACGGTTATCGACCAATTCCGAGATTCTAGGTAAACTATAACTTGATTTCGTGAATTTACTATGTACTATAGTGTGATTTTAGACACCCGGTTGTCCCTCGAAGACAAACGGCGCCACCAAGTCCTGACGAAACTCTGGACTGACTTGAAGGGATCCGAAGTCACTCCTAAGAAGCTCTTAGAAGCCTTAAGTGCCGTCGATTCCACCCTATGGGTGCAACCGCAGAGGCCCGTCTCACTCAACTTACACCTCCCGATCGTTCAAGCGACGAAGTACCGGAGAACCAGACCCATTCTAGGTAGGTCGTGTGATTCTTCAGCCCCCGCTCAAGACACTCTTTCAGCCCAGAGTAGTTCAAAGAGCGAAGAAGAAACCACGGGGAACGAATCCCCCGAAAGCGGTAACCGCGACGAGGGTTACTCGACTATGTCAAGCGATGTCCAAGCGGACCCGACTCGAGGATCAGGCGAAGCTATCCCTAATCGAGGACTCGAAGATCTGAAGGAAGCCACCGACGAGACTGACATTACCGAAACGCGCCTTCTTGTGACCGACAATAAGGATCCAGACATTCTTTACATTCCTTTTAATTTATTGAACCTCAAGCCAAGGTTGTAACTTGTTTTGGTGTCAGCGGTGCGATAATCGGGTTGTTTTAGGAATAGTTATCCTCCAGGAAAAGACATGCTGCCTTTTCAACACATAATGAGGAGCTTCTCGGATTCTCATTTGTGTATCAAAATCACGACGGCGCCGAGCCCTTGCTACACCTTCAGTTCGCCCATTTCCAGCAGCCCTTCGATCTTCGTCTTGGACATCACGGATAAGAACCCGCTGCGGAGGGCGAAAGCCACTAGCACTCTGTGGGGTAAGTACTAGTTCTTTAGTTGTATTGTTCGTTCCAGTTTGACTTGGCTTGCCAAGTCAACCCGGAGCGGAGATTAGACGCGCCGCTTACGAGGTACAACCCAGAAATTTTAGGTAACACTAACCTAGAAATCTGTGATGACAAAGCCTCGCAAATCTCGTGGTCCAGCACGGCGGAGGAGCGCCTCGAGTGCACGACCTGGGACGCCGAGTACATCCAGCAGTGGCTGCGCCTCGACGAAACCAGGTCGGCTCTTCAGCAGCAGCACCGGGACATGCTGGAACTGGAGTACGACCGCGCCGAACTCGAGGATTGGAGTCTGAGTCTGTCGAACGACGACCTGCGCGAGCAGTACAAGCGCGTCGACGTGCTGACCCCGGGACAGATCTCCATCTCCACCCTCCCCAGCATCCAGGAGAACAACGCCCTGGAGCTGGAGGAGGACTCGAACGAGTGTCTCTGGAACAGCTCGAGCTACATGATGGACAAGGAAGGGCGCGAGTTGGTCACGCTCTTGATGGACAATGGGTCGAACGGGGAGAACGAGAAGCCGTGGCCGTATGCCGTCTCCACCATGGTCAACCAGCAGATTTCGCCGGATAATAGCTGGTCGAGTGGGTCGGATTGCTGCCACTCGCACGAGCCGGAAACGTGCTCGAAGAGGTCGTCGGCGGCCTTGAGTGGGTGTAGCGACGACACGGGGGAGCTTCCAGCCGTAGGGACGGATTTCACGCGCGATTTTTACAGGTTGGTGGTTTAGCTTGACAGTTGCGGACAAATCATAGTCCCTAACTTACTGTTCAGAGTGCCTTGACGTATTATGTTGTTTTTAACAGTGTGGATACGGAATGACTTCAATAGTAAAAAATTGGTCGAAAGTTATTTCGACAGAACTTCCCTCGCTCCTGAAGTACAGTAAAAATAAATAATAGTTTAAAAAACTAAAAAAACACGCTTTTATTGCTAATCGAACTAAAAACTAGAAAATAATTTTTAATGACAGAGTTTAATATTACAGTAGTAGAAGATCAAACAATCAATCATAGTAAATCACCTCAAATTAAAATTATAATAAAATTTAAGTTATTAACAGAATAATTCAATTCAGAGTAAAAAGCGTGGGGTGCTTGATATTTTAAATATTACAATCATTCTATTGGCAACTATCTATGAGAGGATAGTTATGAACCGCAGTAAAATGCACCCCACGCTTTTTACTCTGAATTGAATTATTCTGTTAATAACTTAAATTTTATTATAATTTTAATTTGAGGTGATTTATTATGATTGATTGTTTGATCTTCTACTACTGTAATATTAAACTCTGTCATTAAAAATTATTTTCTAGTTTTTAGTTCGATTAGCAATAAAAGCGTGTTTTTTTAGTTTTTTAAACTATTATTTATTTTTCATTTTTTAGTCTGCGACAAATTCATCAATTGGGGAATTAATTACTTATTTAGATTTTTCTAGAAAGAACCACTCAGTGGTCTCCGTAGGATCGAGGATCCTGGCGGTCCTAATAAGGATAATGGGAAACTGTTATCAAATTATTGCATTGTCATCGATCCTTGAGACGTGTGCAAAGTTTCAAGATGATCAGACTTTTAGAAACCGATGAAAATTAAGCTCAAAGATTCCGTTACATACATACAACCCAAGCTAATAAAAGCGTGATAAAAATACTGCTTCTCTGAATAATTATAAAATTGATTTGTCACGTTCTTAAAAATAAGACAGTCGGAAGCCCCGAGAAAATTTAATATGTATTCTTAAAAAAAGACACTTGGGGGGCCCGAGAAGGTTTCGCCTTCTTTAAAAAAACAATTAGGACCCCCGAGAAGGTTTCACATAAAAAAGGCATTTGGCGCCCCCGAGAAGGTTTTACATTTTTAAAAAAGACAGTTGGGACCCCGCAGAAGGTTTCACATTAAAAAAAAATCAGTTGGGACCTCCGAGAAGGTTTCATATTCTTAAAAAAAAGATATTTAGGGCCCCCGACAAGGTTTCACATTCTTAAAAAAATACATTTGGGGCTCCCGAGAAGGTTTTAGATTAAAAAAAAAAAAACAGTTGGGACCCCCGAGAAGGTTTCACATTCTTAAAAAAAAGGCATTTGGGGCCCACGACAAGGTTTCACCTTCTTTAAAAAAAGGACCCTTGCTACCCCCGAGAAGGTTTCACATTAAAAAAAAAGACATTTGTGGCCCCCGAGAAGGTTTCACATTCTTAAAAAAATATATTTGGGGCCCCCAAGAAGGTTTTACATTTTTAAAAAACACAGTTGGGGCACCCGAGGAACTTTCGCCTTCTTTAGAAAAAGAAGGTTTCAAATTCTTAAAAAAAAAGGCATTTGGGGACCCCGAGAAGGTTTCACATTAAAAAAAAAACACATTTGGCGCCCCCGACAAGGTTTTACATTTTTATAATGATAGCGTTGGGAACCCCGAGAATGTTTCACATTCTTAAAACAAGACAGTTGGAACCCCCGAGAAGATTTCACCTTCTTTAAAAAAGGACACTTGGAACCCCCGAGAAGGTTTCACATTAAAAAAAAGGCATTTGGGGCCCCCGAGAAGGTTCCACATTTAAAAAAAAATACATCTAGAGCCCCCGAGAAGCTAACACAAAAAAAAATCGGTTGGGACCTCCGAGAAAGTTTTAGATTTTTAAAAAAGACAGTTAGGACCCCCGAGAAGATTTTACATTTTTAAAAAGACAGTTGGGACCCTCGAGAAGGTTTCATATTCTTAAAAAAAAGACATTTAGGGCCCCCGACAAGGTTTCACATTCTTAAAAAAATACATTTGGGGCTCCCGAGAAGGTTTTAGATTAAAAAAAAAAAACAGTTGGGACCCCCGAGAAGGTTTCACATTCTTAAAAAAAAGGCATTTGGGGCCCACGACAAGGTTTCACCTTCTTTAAAAAAGGACCCTTGCTACCCCCGAGAAGGTTTCACATTAAAAAAGAAGACATTTGTGGCCCCCGAGAAGGTTTCACATTCTTAAAAAAATATATTTGGGGCCCCCAAGAAGGTTTTACATTTTTAAAAAACACAGTTGGGGCACCCGAGGAACTTTCGCCTTCTTTAGAAAAAGAAGGTTTCAAATTCTTTAAAAAAAAGGCATTTGGGGCCCACGACAAGGTTTCACCTTCTTTAAAAAAGGACCCTTGCTACCCCCGAGAAGGTTTCACATTAAAAAAAAAGACATTTGTGGCCCCCGAGAAGGTTTCACATTCTTAAAAAAATATATTTGGGGCCCCCAAGAAGGTTTTACATTTTTAAAAAACACAGTTGAGGCACCCGAGGAACTTTCGCCTTCTTTAGAAAAAGAAGGTTTCAAATTCTTAAAAAAAAAAGGCATTTGGAGACCCCGAGAAGGTTTCACATTAAAAAAAAAAACACATTTGGCGCCCCCGACAAGGTTTTACATTTTTATAATGATACCGTTGGGAACTCCGAGAATGTTTCACATTCTTAAAACAAGACAGTTGGAACCCCCGAGAAGATTTCACCTTCTTTAAAAAAGGACACTTGGAACCCCCGAGAAGGTTTCACATTAAAAAAAAGGCATTTGGGGCCCCCGAGAAGGTTCCACATTTAAAAAAAAATACATCTAGAGCCCCCGAGAAGCTAACACAAAAAAAAATCGGTTGGGACCTCCGAGAAAGTTTTAGATTTTTAAAAAAGACAGTTAGGACCCCCGAGAAGATTTTACATTTTTAAAAAGACAGTTGGGACCCTCGAGAAGGTTTCATATTCTTAAAAAAAAGACATTTAGGGCCCCCGACAAGGTTTCACATTCTTAAAAAAATACATTTGGGGCTCCCGAGAAGGTTTTAGATTAAAAAAAAAAAACAGTTGGGACCCCCGAGAAGGTTTCACATTCTTAAAAAAAAGGCATTTGGGGCCCACGACAAGGTTTCACCTTCTTTAAAAAAGGACCCTTGCTACCCCCGAGAAGGTTTCACATTAAAAAAGAAGACATTTGTGGCCCCCGAGAAGGTTTCACATTCTTAAAAAAATATATTTGGGGCCCCCAAGAAGGTTTTACATTTTTAAAAAACACAGTTGGGGCACCCGAGGAACTTTCGCCTTCTTTAGAAAAAGAAGGTTTCAAATTCTTTAAAAAAAAGGCATTTGGGGCCCACGACAAGGTTTCACCTTCTTTAAAAAAGGACCCTTGCTACCCCCGAGAAGGTTTCACATTAAAAAAAAAGACATTTGTGGCCCCCGAGAAGGTTTCACATTCTTAAAAAAATATATTTGGGGCCCCCAAGAAGGTTTTACATTTTTAAAAAACACAGTTGAGGCACCCGAGGAACTTTCGCCTTCTTTAGAAAAAGAAGGTTTCAAATTCTTAAAAAAAAAAGGCATTTGGAGACCCCGAGAAGGTTTCACATTAAAAAAAAAAACACATTTGGCGCCCCCGACAAGGTTTTACATTTTTATAATGATACCGTTGGGAACTCCGAGAATGTTTCACATTCTTAAAACAAGACAGTTGGAACCCCCGAGAAGATTTCACCTTCTTTAAAAAAGGACACTTGGAACCCCCGAGAAGGTTTCACATTAAAAAAAAGGCATTTGGGGCCCCCGAGAAGGTTCCACATTTAAAAAAAAATACATCTAGAGCCCCCGAGAAGCTAACACAAAAAAAATCGGTTGGGACCTCCGAGAAAGTTTTAGATTTTTAAAAAAAGACAGTTAGGACCCCCGAGAAGATTTTACATTTTTAAAAAGACAGTTGGGACTCTCGAGAAGGTTTCACATTCCTCAAAAAAGATATTTAGGCCTCAGAGAAGGTTATACATTCTCAATAATGACAGTTGGAACCCCCCAAAAAGTTTGACATAAAAAAAAGGTATTTGGGGCCCCCGAGAAGGTTTTACGTTAAAAAAACCATTTGGTACCCCCGAGAAGGTTTTACATTTTAAGAACAGACAATTGGGACCCCCGAGACGAAATTTTGTTTTAGGCAAATATGGATTGTGCCATTAAGCTCCGCCCCTCAATCGGACAACCAATGAAAAAATTCATCACATAAAGGTCCGGGCGGGTGGGTGGGGCTTAATCATTGCCCTCTTTTTCTTAATATATTGAGTTGTCTGTCAACAATACGTGTTTTAAGTAGGTATACTTAAAACACAAGTCTAACCTCGAATTCAACATTTGCCAGGTTAAGTGTTTTATTGCTGAAAGAAGACTATGTACGTATATCACGAAAAGAAAGTCAAAGAATTAACCCCACCCACCCCATCTCAATTGTGGTTATTTTTTTATTCGTTGTCACACGGGAGGGTGGAGCTTAATTGAAAAGTTCATATTTCCCTACAAGCAATTGCCATATGGAACAGTCCAACAAAATAAAAAATTAACCCCGCCCAATTGGTCGAAATTTGTTTCGACAGAACTTCCCTAGCTTCTGAAGTGCAGTACAACAAATACTGCTTAGGTTTTACATTTTTAAAAAAAGCAGTTGGGGCCCTCGAGAAGGTTTCACATTAAAAAAAAAAGATATTTGGGGCCCCCGAGAAGGTTCTACATTCTTAAAAAAGACAGTTGGGACCCCGAGAAGGTTTCACATTAAAAAAAAAACCTATTTGGGTCTCCCGCGAAGGTTTTATATTAAAAAAAAAAAGACATTTGGCGCCCCCGAGAAAGTTTTACATTAAAAAAAAAGACAATTGGGACCCCCGAGAAGGTCTCACATTCTTAAAAAAAAAAAGACTTTTTTTAGGCAAATTTGGATTTTGCTATTAAGCTCCGCTCTTCAATCGGACAACCAATGAAAAATTCATCACACAAAGATTCGGGCGGGTGGGTGGGGCTTAATCATTGGCCTGTTTTTCTTGATATATTGAATTTTCTTTCAACAATACAATACTTAAAAAACATAAGCCCAACCTCGAATTCAACATTTGATATGTTAAGTGTTTTATTGCTAAAAGAAGACTATGTATATCACGAAAAGAAAGGCAAAAAATTAACCCCACACATTTTTAAAAAAAGACAGTTGAGACCCCCGAGAAGGTTTCACATTCTTAAAAAAAAAAGACATTTTTTTGTAGGCAAATATGGATTTTGCCATTAAGCTCCGCCCCTCAATCGGACAACCAATGAAAAATTCGTCACACAGAGGTCCGGGTGGGTGGGTGGGGCTTAGTCTTTGCCCTCTTTTTCTTAATATATTGAGTTTTCTTTCAACAATACGATACTTAATCAAACCTCGAATTCAACATTTGCTATGTTAAGTGTTTTATTGCTGAAAGAAGACAATGTTTTTCACGAAAAGAAAGTCAAAGAATTAACCCCACCCACCCACCCAATCTCAATTGTGGCAATTTTTTTTTTTTCGTCGTGACACGGTAGGGTGGAGCTTGATTGAAAAGTTCACATTTCCGTACAAACAATTGCCATATGGAACAGTTCAACAAAATAAAAAATTAAGCCCCACCCACCCACCCCTATCTTAATTGTGATGAATTTTTTATTCGTTAATTGCCAAGTCCATATATTTGAGGCATGATCGTGTAGTAGAACATAGACCATTTTGAAAAAAATTGGTCGAAATTTGTTTCGACAGAACTTCCCTCGCTTTGAAGTACAGTCCAACAAATACTGCTTAGGTTTTACATTCTTAAAAAAGACAGTTGGGACCTCCGAGAAGGTTTCACATTTAAAAAAATCATATTTGGGCCCCCCGCGAAGGTTTTATATTCTAAAAAAGACATTTGGTGCCCCCGAGAAGGTTTTACATTAAAAAAAAAAAACAATTGGGACCCCCGAGAAGCGTTCACATTCTTAAAAAAAAAGATTTTTTTTTAGGGAAATATGGATTTTGCCATTAAGCTCCGCCCCTCAATCGGACAACCAATAAAAAAATTCATCACACAAAGGTCCGGGCGGGCGGGTGGGGCTTAATCATTGGCCTGTTTTTCTTAATATATTGAGTTTTCTGTCAACAATACGATACTTAAAACATAAGTCTAACCCTCGAACTCAACATTTGTTATGTTAAGTGTTTTATTGCTGAAAGAAGACAATGTTTTTCACGAAAAGAAAGTAAAAAAATTAACCCCACCCACCCACCCAATCTCAATTGTGGTTATTTTTTTTATTCGTTGTCACACGGGAGGGTGGAGCTTAATTGAAAAGTTCATATTTCCCTTACAAACAATTGCCGTATGGAACAGATCAACAAAATCAAAAATTAAGCCCCGCCCACCCACCCCCATCTTAATTGTGATGAATTTTTTATTCGTTAATTGCAAAGTCCATATATTGGAGGCATGATCGTGTTGTAGAACATCCACCATTTTGAAAAAAATTGGTCGAAATTTGTTTCGACAGAACTTTCCTCGCTTCTGAAGTACAGTACAACAAATACTGCTTAGGTTTTACATTTTTAAAAAAGACAGTTGGGGTCCTCGAGAAGGTTTCACATTTAAAAAAACATATTTGGCCCCCCCGCGAAGGTTTTATATTCTAAAAAACTATTTGGCGCCCCCGAGAAGGTTTTACATTAAAAAAAAAGACAATTGGGACCCTCGAGAAGGTTTCACATTCTTAAAAAAAAGACATATTTTTGTAGGCAAATATGGATTTTGCCATTAAGCTCCGCCCCTGAATCGGACAACCAATGAAAAATTCGCCACACAGAGGTCCGGGTGGGTGGGTGGGGCTTAATCTTTGTTCTCTTTTTCTTAATATATTGAGTTTTCTTTCAACAATACGACACTTAAAACAGAAGTCTAACCTCGAATTCAACATTTGATTTGTTAAGTGTTTTACTGCTGAAAGAAGACAATGTATATCATAAAAAGAAAGTCAAAAAATTAACCCCACCCACCCACCCAATCTCAATTGTGGTTATTTTTTTTATTCGTTGCCACACGGGAGGGTGGAGCTTAATTGAAAAGTTCATATTTCCCTACAAGCAATTGCCATATGGAACAGTTCAACAAAATCAAAAATTAAGCCCCACCCACCTCTATCTTAATTGTGATAAATTTTTTATTCGTTAATTGCAAAGTCCATATATTTGAGGCATGATCGTGTTGTAGAAAATAGACCATTTTGAAAAAAACTGGTCGAAATTTGTTTCGACAGAACTTTCCTCGCTTCTGAAGTACAGTACAACAAATACTGCTAGGTTTTACATTTTTAAAAAAGACAGTTCCCGGGGCCCTCGAGAAAGTTTCACATAAAAAAAAACATATTTGGGGTCTCTGAGAAGGTTTTACATTCTTAAAAAAAGACAGTTGGGACCCCGAGAAGGTTTCACATTTAAAAAAACCTATTTGGGCCCACCGCAAAGGTTTTATATTCTAAAAAAAACATTTGGTGCCCCCGAGAAGGTTTTACATTAAAAAAAAAAAAGACAATTGGGACCCCCGAGAAACTTTCACATTCTTAAAAAAAAAGTTTTTTTTTAGGCAAATATGGATTTTGCCATTAAGCTCCGCCCCTCAATCGGACAACCAGTGAAAAAATTCATCACACAAAAGTCCGGGCGGGTGGGTGGGGCTTGAATCATTGGCCTGTTTTTCTTAATATGTTGAGTTTTTTGTCAACAATACGATACTTAAAACACAAGTCTAACCTCGAATTCAACATTTGCTATGTTAAGTGTTTTATTGCTGAAAGAAGGCAATGTTTTTCACGAAAAGAAAGTCAAAGAATTAACCCCACCCAATCTCAATTGTGGTTATTTTTTTTATTCGTTGTGACACGGGAGGGTGGAGCTTAATTGAAAAGTTCATATTTCCCTACAAGCATTTGCCATATGAAACAGATTTGATTCGTGTTGTTGAAAGAAAATTATATACATTAAGAAAAAAATACAAAATTAAGCCCCACCCACCCACTTCTATCTTAATTGTGATGAATTTTTTATTCGTTATGAAACCGGGGGGTGGATCTTAATTGCAAAGTCTATATGTTTCAGGTATGATTCTATAGTAGAACTAGAAGTAGACTATTTCGAAAAAAAGGGTCGAAATTTGTTTCGACAGAACTTCCCCAGAAATTAATAATTTAGGTTATGTAACTGGATGTCAGAAACACGTGTATATATGTCATAATTATTGTCAAATTTATCATGAACGAAATTGCAGCAGTCATTTTATGAAATACATAAAACCTCAAAGTTGAAAATATTTTTCTTTATAATTCACAGTGGCTGTCACTCTTAAAGACGACATAATATGTCAAGGCACTGTATTCAGGATGTTTGTAGACAAAAGTAGGCAGGTAGCACCTTTTTATTGAAAAGTTTTGTTCTAGAAAATAATAATTGTCGACATTTTAAATTTTAGTGATAGGAATCGGAAACGTCAACTTTAAATCAGTTCATCCAACGTGAAAAAAAAAAATTGCCATGGCTAACTTTTGTCTAAAAACGTCCAGAAAGGTTTATAATTACTAATTAGTAACTAATTTAGGGACTTTGAGTCAAATAACTGTCAAATGTAACACGATTATGTTGACAACAAATTTCACGGCCTACTTAATTCTTGTTGTAGACTGGTGAAGTTCGAAAGCACCAAAAGCCTAGCATCCACGTCTTCCAGAAGCCTCGGGGGCGCCCTCAGCGAGAACGGCGACCACCGCGAGACCACGCTTCACAACGTCCTCAACTTCATCGCCGAGCAGCAGAAGTACGTCGCCTCCCGCGACCAGAAGGAGTCCCCTCGTCCGTGCTCCGCCAGCGACATCACCAAAGACTTCAACATCGAGGGTCCCCCGCAGCACGTCGGCGACGTGAAGATCTGCGACAGCGACGCCTGCCTCAACAAGAGCATCGACGACGAGAACTACGTCACGTTCAAGCAGCTGTGCTCCGAGTACACCATGAACGAGCACAACCTGGAGCTCAAGCAGAACATCGCGTACGCGGACGAGGTCTGCCTGGTGACCCCGCTGGACGTGGAGTCCGAGAACTGTTCGAACATGACGGAGCGGCCCGTGGACATTTGCAGCAGTGTTAACGTGGAGATCGCGTCGACGGAGTACCAATCGGGGGTTTTGAGCGAGACTCCGGTGGACGAGTCGTTCACCAACAGCGACGTCTCGACGAACAACTGCACGAGCGACTCGGTGACGTCGAGCGTGAGCACGCCGGAGACGATCGTGTCGAAGATCCCGCGGAGGAAGCAGAACTCAAAGATCCCGCTGAGTCCGGCGAAGAAGAGCGACAGCGGCGGCCCGGAGACGAAGATACCAAAGAGCAAGATCCCGCACAAGAGCAACAAGGGGGCGAAGGCGCAGAAACAGAAGGTGGTGGAGGTGCGGCAGAATAGCGTGGCGCAGCACGTCATCACGTCGGAGAGGCTGCCGCAGTGCTCGTCGGGGGTGATTAGTAATATCATCGACGGGCCGCCGCATAGGGCTGTGAGTTTTCATGAGAGGGCCACGTCGAAGGACGTCATCGACGAGTTGAATAGGATGATCAAGAATGGGGATGAGGGGCAGGAGCAAGGGGAGGCGGTGGGGTCGAAGCTGGATCAGGGGTGCAGGGCGACGGGATGGGTCCACGTTGAAAAAGACATTGATTTGACGGATCCAAAAGTAAGAAAAAAGGATACGTTATTGGTAAATTGATTTTTATTCTGTTGGTGTTAGTGCTAACAGTGTTAACGCGCATGCGCTCCATAGCCAACTAATGTTTTTATAACCAGAATTATGTAAGGAATTGCTTTCATCTGTTCATTATTCTTGTATTATTGTTACCTCAGTTTATAAAAATTGGTCGAAAGTTACTTCGACAGAACTTCCCTCGCCTCGGAAGTCCAGCCTAACAATTCCTGCTTCTTTGGGAAATTATAAAAAAATGCGATGTTTGTTTTCTGACAACGGGAAAAAATAGCTTTCAAAAATCAAAATATGTATCGAGAAATCGAAAAATTGAGAAATTTAAAAAATCAAAATACGAAAAGTCGAAAAATTGAAACATCAAAAATTTGAAAAATCCCCAACATTGAAATGTTGAAAAATTGAGAAATCGAAAAACTGAAAAATAGAAACTTCGAAAAATGGAAAAAACGAAAAATCGAAAAGTGGAAAAATAAAAAAAACAAAAAAAAGAAAAATCGTGAAATTGACCAAGTGAAAAACGAAACATTGAAGAATCGAAATATCCAAAAATTCCAAAACTGAGATGCCGAAAAATCGAAAATTAACAAAATTGAAAAATCGAGAGATTGAAAAATCAAAAAATCGGAAAAATGAAAGATTTATTGAAAACTGAAATCTATAAAAATTGGGAAACAGAAAAGTTGAAAAATCGAAACATCGAAAAGTCGGAAGTTATCGTTTTCAAAAATGCGAGAAGTCAAAAAATCAAGAAACCGAGCAATCGAAACTTCGAACAATTCAAAACTCGGGAAATTGAGCAATTGAAAAATCCCAAAACTGATTCCAAAAATTGAGAAATTGAAAAATCGGGAAGTCGAAAATTTAAAACATGGAAAAATGGAAAAATCGAAAAATTGATAATCCGAAAAATTACAAAATTGAGTAATCGAAAAGTCAAAGAATCGAGAAATCGGAAAATCGTAAAACTGAAATATTGGAAAATTTTGAAGCTGAAAAATCGAAAAAATAAAAAAATCTAGAAATCGAAAAGTCGAAAAATCGAATACGTAATTGAAGAATCGAAATATTGAGAAATTTCAAAAGTGAAAATACTTATGGAAAAATTTAAAAAATGGAAAAACTGAGAAAAGAAAAACCTGAAAAATTAAAAAAAATAAAATCTATTAATCGAGAAATCAAAAAGTCGAAAATTTAGATCCGTCAAAAATTGAAAAATCGTAAAACTGAAATCTCGGAAAATTGAGAAACTGAAAAATCCAAAAAACTAAAATTTAAGAAATCGAAAATCAAAATTTTTAAATATTCCAAAATTGATATATCCAAACACTGAAAAATCGAAAAAAAATTGAGAAAACATAAACCTGAAAATTTGAAAAAATTAATCGAAAAATGTAAAATTAAAAAAATCGAAAAATTGGAAAATTGAAATATCGAAAAATTGAAAAATCAAGAAATGGAGAAATGGAAAAATCGATGAATCGAAAAAGTAAAAAATCGAGAAAACGAAAAATTGAAAAATCGAAGATAAATTGAGGAAACAGAAACCTGAAAATTTGAAAAAATGAAAAGATCTAGAAATCGAAAAGTCGAAAAATCGAATACGTAATTGAAGAATCGAAATATTGAGAAATTTCAAAAGTGAAAATACTTATGGAAAAATTTAAAAAATGGAAAAACTGAGAAAAGAAAAACCTGAAAAATTAAAAAAAATTAAAATCTATTAATCGAGAAATCAAAAAGTCGAAAATTTAGATCCGTCAAAAATTGAAAAATCAAAAAAACTAAATTTTAAGAAATCGAAAAATCAAAATTTTTAAATATTCCAAAATTGATATATCCAAACACTGAAAAATCGAAAAAAAAATTGAGAAAACATAAACCTGAAAATTTGAAAAAATAAATCGAAAAATGTAAAATTAAAAAAATCGAAAAATTGGAAAATTGAAATATCGAAAAATTGAAAAATCAAGAAATCGAGAAATGGAAAAATCGATGAATCGAAAAAGTAAAAAATCGAGAAAACGAAAAATTGAAAAATCGAATACATAATAAAAGTGAAATATAGAAAAAATTTAAAAATGGAAAAAACAAGAAAACAAAAACCTGAAAAATTAAAAAAAAATGAAAATCGATTAATCCAGAAATCAAAAAATCGAAAATTTAGATCCGTCAAAAATTGAAAAATCGTAAAAATGAAAAATCGGAACATCGAGAAATTGAAAAATGAAAAAAAAATAAAATTTAAAAAATCGATAACAGGAAAAATTGAGAAATTGAAGAAAAATTGAGGAAACAGAAACCTGAATAATTGAAAAAATAAGAAATCGAAAAATGTAAGATTTAAAAAATCAAAAAATTGTAAAATTAAACAGCGAAAAATTGAAGAATCAAGAGGTCGATTAATCGAGAAATCAAAAATCGAAAGATTGAAAAATTAAAAAAATGAAAACTTGAAAATTTTATTGCAAACTGAAATCTAAACATTGGGAAATTGAAATGTTGTTGAAAAATGGAAACATGGAAAAATTGGAAAAACGATAAATCAAAAAGGCGAAAAGTCAAAATATTAAGAAACTGAGCAATCGAAACATCGAACAATTGAAAACTTGGAAAAATTGAACAATCGAAAAATCAAAAAATCAAAACTTTAAAAAATCGAAAATTGAATCGAAATATTGAAAAATCCCAAAACTAATGCTTCGAAAATTGAGAAATTGAAAAATGGAAGAATCAAAAAATTGATAATCCGAAAAATTACAAAATCTAAGCATCGAAAAATCGAAAAACTGAAATAAATATTGGAAAGTTTTGAAACTGAAAAATCGAAAAACCAAGACAAACTTGAAAAATTAAAAAAATTAAAAATCGATTAATCGAGAAATCAAAAAATCGTAAAACTGAAATATCAGAAAATTGAGAAACTGAAATATTGAAATCTTCCAAAACTGAGATATCGAAAAATTAAAAAATGGAAAAAAAAATGAGAAAACGGAAACCTAAAAAATTGAAAAAATAAAAATCCAAAAATTGAAAAATTCAAATAACGAAAAACTGAAGAATCAAGAAATCGATTATTTCAGAAATCGAAAATTTAAAAACGCCAAAACTTGAAAAATTGAAAATTAAGAAGTTCACAAAAATGGAAAAATCGAGAGATTGAAAAATCAAAAAATTGGAAAAACGATAAATCAAAAAGGCGGAAAGGCAAAAAATCAAGAAACTGAGCAATTGAAACATTGAATATTTGAAAACTCGGTAAATTGAACAATTAAAAAATCGAAATATTGAAATCTCGATAAATCGAGAAATCAAAAATTGAAAAATTGAAAAATCATAAATATAAAATTTAAAAAATCGAAAACTGAATCTAAATATTAAGAAAACCCGAAACTGATGCTTCAAAAAATTGAGAAATTGAAAAATCGGGAAATTGAAAAGTGGAAAAGTCGAAAATTTAAAATATCAAAGAAAAATCGAAAAATTGATAATCCGAAAAATAACAAAATCGAAAAATCGTAAAACTGAAAGATTGGAAAATTTTGAAACTGAAAAATCGAAAAAGTTAAAATCATGAAAACGGAAATTGAAAAATCGAAAAAAACAAAAAAACTTAGAAATCGAAAAATTCCAAAAGTGAAATATCGAAAAATTTTAAAAATGGAAAAATTCCAAAGATTCCAAAACTGAGATATCGAAAAATTGAAAAATCCAAGAAACATTGAGAAAACAAACCTGAAAAATTTTAAAAATAAAAAATCGAAAAATGTAAAATTAAAATCGAAAAATTGAAAAATTAAAATAGTGAAAAATTGAAGAATCTAGAAATCGATTGATTAATCCAGAAATCCAAAAATTGAAAATTTGGAAATGGCAAAAATTGAGTAAACGAAAAATTGAAAATTAAGAAGTTCATAAAAATGGAAAAATTGGTAGATGAAACGTCAAAAAAACGAAAAATTGAAAAACTGAAATATATAAAAATTGGGAAATCGAAAAGTTCAAAAATCGAAACATCACACAATTGAAAACCTGGAAAATTGAATAATTTAGAAATCGAAAAATTGAAAAATCAAAAAATATAAAATTTAAAAAAATTGGGAAATTGAAAAGTCGAGTAATCGAGAAATTGAATTGCGAAACTGAAAAATCAAAAAGTCAAAGAACCGAGAAATCGAAAAGTCGAAAAATTGAAAAATCGTAAAACTGAAATATCGGAAAATTTTGAAACTGAAAAATCGAATCGAAGCATTAAAAAATTTCAAAATTGAGATATGAAAAAACTGTTAAATCGGTAAATCAGAAAATCGAAAAACTGAAAAATACCAAAATTGATACTTTGAGAAATTGAAAATTCGAGTAATCGAAAAGTGGAAAAGTTGAAAATTTAAAAAATCTAAAAATGGAAGAATCGAAAAATTGATAAACCGAAAATCTACAAAATCGAGTAGTCGAAAAATTGAAAATTCGTAAAACTGAAATATCGGGAAATTTTGAAACTGAAAATCGAAAAAGTATTGTATTGAATAATTCCAAAAGTGAGATATCGAACAATTGAGAAAACAAAGACTTGAATAATTGAAAAAATTAAAAAATCGAATTAACGAGAAATAAAAAAAAACACGAAAATTTAGATATGCTAAAGATTGAAAAATTGAAAAACTGAAAATTCGAAAGGTGAAAAATGGAAAAAATAAACAAATCGAATACATAAATGAGGAATCGAAAAATTGGGAAAACAAAAACTTGAAAAATTAAAAAAATTTTTAAAACCGATCAATCGAGATATTAAAAAACGAAGATTTAGATAACGCCAAACATCGAAAAATTGAAAAATAAAAATCGAAACTTCAAAAGATTGCAAAATCGATAAATTGAAAAATGGAAGAAAAATATTGAAAAATTTGCCAAAACTGCAACTTAAAAAATTTTCAAAAATTCAAAAATTGAGAAAAAAGATGGTTGAAAAATTCGATAAATAATAAATCGAAACATTGAAAAACAAATATCGAAGAACTGAGAATTCTTCTTAAAAAATTGGAAAAAAACAAAATAGCGAAAAATTGAGGAATCAAAGAATCGATTAATCGAAAAATTGAAAAGTCTCAAAACTCACATAACGAAATATTAAAAAATTGGAAAATCGAAAATTAAACAAAATTGAGAAATTGAAGAATAAAAAAATCGAAATATCGGCAAATTGAATAACCAAAAAATCGATTAATCGAATAATCAAAAATGTAGAAACGCCAAAAGTTAAAAACTCGGAAAATTAAAGAATCGATAAATTGAAAAATCTTAAAACTGAAATATAGAAAAATTGGGCAGCTGAAAAATTAATAAAATGGGAAATGGAAAATTAAAAAAATCATAAAACCGAAGTATCAAAAAGCTGAAATATCGAAAAACTCAAAAATCGAAAATTCGAAAAATTGAGAAATCCACAAATAAAATGTGAACAATAGATCCGATAATTTCGGAAATTATCTGTCCAATAAAAATCGCTACAGACGGCGGACAGACAAGCAGACAAAAACAGGAGACCTATTTTATCGTACTCTAAGGGTCATGAAACGTCCAGAAAACATGAAAGTATCCAGTTACCCGATGAATTCGATACCAACACTTTTAGTTTACGCTCGGGAAGTAAAAAAGAGTGAACAGTAAAAAAATTGACAAAAATTGCAATAATCATGCATAGCTTTCTGGCATAAACTAACCAAAATAAAAAACTTTAATAAAAAAAATTATAACAAAATGTTCCACCTTTACAGGCCAGAGCCAACTTACTCGATGTGATGATGGCGTCGGTATCGAGCGATTCCTCCCCAACGTCCTCATGCGGCGGAAGCGTTGCTAGTGATTCCACAGAAGACCCACCCGATTATGGGCACTTGCACCGTATTCACAGGTTCCACCGACAGAAAAAAGGTACCTTGTCCTGATAGTATTGTCTTGAGTACACTTACATGCACCAAATTAACCTCCCCACATTTCCACATTACTAACTAAAAATTCTCAAAAAAAAAAAAATTAAACCAGTATTATTAGATTTTTAGTTTTCTTTTTAACGCTTAGTTAATTAATTAGCGCAAAAATAGCTCTTCTTAGTTAGTAATAGTAAGTTATGTCTGAAATTAATTCTTTTTGTAAAAGAAAAGATTTAGGAAAAATTATGACTAACCGTGGTATGAGTAGAAAAATTTGCTTTTATTTGTAGTTCCTGTATTAATCTGCATAGTCTGCTTTTTTTAATCACCTACCACTAACCCGCATGCCGCACTCTTCAATTTTTGGCTGACACGGTAACTTCAAACGAATATATTTTGAGTCCCAAACATTTTACTAGTACGTTCAGCTCCATGAACTGCTATCCAACCCGAAAATTGTGTAAACAAATCCGTGGACACCTTTCAAAAGTTTAGAACCTCTTGTTTATTACATTATCTTTTTATTGTTCTTCTCCTGTTTATATGTTCTCGTAGAACCTAGTGCTCTTTGGTATACTAATAACATAAATTTTTATTTTACTGCTAGTTACATTTTCCTAATGGTTTGTTTACTGATTCGATTATTTTGTTTCTCTCTGACTTCTTATGATTTCGACGTTGTCTCTTTATCTTTGGTTGATTGCGAGTCGAGAACGAAGTGTCATAAATTATTATAATCACGTTATACCAACCCCGAAAAGGCACTAAAGCGGTTTAGGTTCGAATTTCCGTTAGATTAGACTGATCAGTAAGCAAACTCGGACTCTGCCCGAGCGAACTGTACTGTAAATGTTGGGGATTTCAAGCTTCAACTTCGGCACCCTGCACGCCCATCACGGAGACGGCCGTCTGATCATTTCGCATGGTTCCTTCCAGCGAACGCCGCAAGACCCGAACTGGCCGTGGTCAGGGCGTCGCTGGGGTCGACCCGGCCGACCATAATCGGCCGGCCCGACTTCTTCGTGCGCTACGGCGAGAAGGAGATGGAGGCGGTGGCCAGCTTCGACTTCCTCGACGACTTCAGCACCACCAGCAGCTCCCTGAGCGAGAGCGCCGAGCTCGAGGAAGAGTTCAAGCCGACCGAGGACCGAGTGCTGCACCTGAAAGTCAGCCAAGTTTGAATGAGTTTCATTGATATTTTTTGTATACGTCGTATTTATTGTCTATATGTAAATTATTTTATTTATATTTGAATACAAGTGTAAAATTTTATTTTAGTTTTATTTCGAGAGGTGGAGTGCGAGATTAGGGTTAAGACTGTATATAGTGATCGAATTTATTTTAGGGTTTTTTTTTTTGGAGAATTGTTTGATTCGAACGGAACGAATTATGTGTAGTACACTCATGTACTTTTGTGATATAAGAAATTTATTTAAGCGGATAGTGCATGTTCTATATGGGTCGTGTAATCAAGGAACTGTACACAAATCAAAAATGCATCGCAGTTGGGTTTTCGTTGATGACCATTTCCTGGGCCTAGATTCATCCTCGTGGTTTCACTGCAGTGCAATAAGTTTTAACGTTCTTTAATTGATCTCTCATTGTATGAACATAAAGCAATTCTTTAGACCTTTAGACTACAGACAATGTTGAAATTATATAAACTGTGTGTAGATTGTATTTTTATATAGGGTACTTATTTATATTTAGTACAAATTTAGACCATAAATACACTATTACAAGCAAGCGTGTTTTATTTCTCGACTCTTTTGGTTTTGATAACAAATTAATGCGCTTTAGGTTACGTGGGGGTTTCACCGAATCTTGGAACGCATGCACCGAGCGGTATGCTATCTATCACATCCAAGAATAAATATCAGCAAATTTTATTTTTATAGTTGTGCGCCGTCTCACTCGTGCCAACTTGTAACCAGGGGATGTACACGTTACCTGTATAAATACAGCAACCTTCAAAATGCGCATTTAAACACAGTTCACAGTCGCACCAGTGCAACATTAAAAAAATGGAGTTCTATTTTCTCGATTTCGACGAAACCGTCATAATTTTGTCGATGTCGCTACTACTAACGTTGTTTTTTTACGGAAAACAAATCCAACCTTTTAAGTGTTTCGAAAGTGCGCACAGCGGAATTGTCCCAAAAAGTGTGAATTATCATTTCACCAGAAAATGCAACTACGAGTGTGGGTTTTGCTTCCATACGGCCAAAACGTCGTTTATGTTGAATTTGGAGACGGCGAAATTGGGTTTACAATTATTAAAAAATGCGGGTGAGTCACCTAGATATAGTGTTTTATTCGAAGTGCCAAAGTGATAAAACATAAGTATCGTTATCAAACTTTAGTTATTTATAAACTTGCCGTTGACGTTTAAGTTCTCGCTGACGTTGCTTTTACAGCTGAAAATTAAGAAATACAGGGCAAAATGTAGCCCCGCCCACCCACCCTATCTCAGTTGTGACGATTTTAAGTCTGTACAGTATGATTTCTTTCATTGAATATTTTGTTTATTTTGCTATAATTTTATACATTAGTTGTGTTTATGTTTTGATTTATTTCGCACATTTATTAATTGTAAATTTTTTTTTGACGATTTATAAGCTGCTTTAGTTCTAACAAATATAAACTTATCTTATCTTATCTTATTATTTCTCTAGAAGAATGTTTCTGAATATCCTGTTATTCAAAAAATACTATGTTTATTAAGAAAAAATTAAAGCCAAAGATTAAGCCCCACCCGTACCTGCCCTGTTCTAAATAGTAATGACGTTTTCATTCGTTGGCAAACCTAGGATCGGAGCCTAATGGCAAAATCCATATTTCCTTACAATTTTTTTTAATATTTTGCCTTTTTTTCTAAAAATAATAGTATTCTTTGAACAACACGATATTCAAAAATTTTTTGTAAAAAAAGATGCTATGTATTCTAAAAAAAAAGACAAAATATAATCCCCGCCCACCCGCCCTGTTTCAATTCTGATGATTCTTTTTATTCGTCGTGAGCCGACGGGCAGAGGTTAACTGCAAAATCCTGATTTTTCTACAAGAAATAAAAACATATTTTTAAGTACCGTGTTAAAAAATACTAGGTATATCAAGAAAAAATTAAGCCAAAGATTAAGCCCGACCTATACACGCCCCGATTTCAATTCTCAATTGTGATGAATTTTTCATTCGTTGTCGGATGGAGGGGCGGAGCTTAATTGCAATATCCATATTTGTCTACAAGAATTTACCATTTCAAACATGTTTTAAGATTCTGATTCTGAAACGACGACTACGTATGTTAAGAAAAAAAGGCAAATAATAAGCCCCGCCCACCCGCCCTATCTCAGTTCGGATGATCCTTTTTATTCGTCATGAGCCGAGGGGCGGAGCTTAACTGCAATATCCTTATTATTTGTCTACAAAAAAGACAAGTGTTTGAGTATCGTGTTATTAAAAAAATATTATATATTATAAGAAAAATTTAAAACCAAAGATTAAGTCCCATCCATACCTGCCCTGATCTATAATTAGTATTGAAGTTTTCATTCGTTAACAGACCTTGGGGCGGAGCCTAATTGTAAAATCCATTTCCTTACAAAAAGTTTACCATTTTAAACTTGATTAAGTTTCTAAGAATTGAGATAGGGCGGGTGGGTGGGGTTTATATTTTGCTTTGTTTCTTATTATACATAGTATTCTTTGAATGCGATACTCAAAAACATGTTTTTAATTTATTGTAAAGAAACTAGAATTTTGCAGTTAAACTCCGCCTCCTTGGCTCTCGGCGAATAAAAAAAATCACCACAATTGAGATAGGGCGGGTGGGCGGGCTTTCATTTTGCCTCTTTGTTTAAATTTGCGTAGACTTCCTTTCACAACAATAAACTTTAAACATGTTTAAAATGGAAAATTTTTATAAGGATATATCGATTTTGCAATTAGACTGCGCCCTATGTTTTAAGTTTCTTGTTTTGAAAAGATGGCTATGTATACTAAAAAAAAAAAAGGCAAAATATATGCCCCGCCCACCCACCCTATCTCAATTCTAATGATCCTTTTTATTCGTCGTGAGTCAAGAGGGCGGAGCTTAACTGCAAAATCCCTATTTCATTACAAAAATTACCATTTTAAACGTGACTAAGTTTCTAAGAATTGAAAAATCATAAAAATTGTGATGGGGTGGGAGGGCGGTGTTTATATTTTGGATTTTTCTCTCACTATACAAAGTATTCTTTGAACAACACGATACTCAAAAACATGTTTTTAATTTCTCGTAAAGAAACAAGTAATTTCCAGTTAAGCTCCGCCCTCTTGGTTCTCGGCGAATAAAAAAAATCATCACAATTGAGATAGGGTGGGTGGGTGGGCTTACATTTTAGTTTTTTGTTTTAATATGCGTAGACATATTTTCACAACAAGAAACTTAAAACATGTTTAAAATGGAACATTTGCATACGGAAATATCGATTTTGCAATTAGGCTACGCCCTATGTTTTAAGTTTTTTGTTGTGAAAAGACGGCTATGTATACTAAGAAAAAAAAAAGGCAATATATGCCCCGCCCACCCACCCTATCTCAATTCTGATGATTTTTTTTATTCGTCGAGAACCAAGAGGGCGGAACTTAACTGCAAAATTTAAAATTGCCATTTTAAACCTGTTTTAAGTTTCTAAGAATAAAAAAATCATGACAATTGGGATGGGGTGGGTGGGCGCGGTATATATTTTGGCTTTTTCTCTTAATAGACGTGGTATTCTTTGAACAACACGATACTCAAAAACATGTTTTTAATTTCTTGTAAAGAAATAAGTATTTTGCAGTTAAGCTCCGCCCCCTTGGCTCACGACGAATGTAAAAAATTATCACAATTGAGATAGGGTGGGTGGGCGGGGCTACATTTTGCCTTCTTGTTTTAATATGCGTAGACTTCTTTTCACAACAAGAAACGTAAAACATGTTTAAAATGGAAAATTTGTACACGGAAATATCGATTTTACAATTAGGCTGCGCTCTATGTTGTAAGTTCCTTGTTGTGAAAGGATGGCTATGTATACTAAGAAAAAAAAAAAAGGCAAAATATAAGCCCCGCCCACCCGCCCTATCTCAATTCTGATGATCCTTTTTATTCGTCGTGAGCCAAGAGGGCGGAACTTAACTGCAAAATTCTTATGTCATTACAAAAATTACCATTTTAAACGTGTTTTAAGTTTCTAAGAATAAAAAAATCATGACAATTGGGATGGGGTGGATGGGCGGGGTTTATATTTTGCCCTTTTTTTTTAATATACATAGTATTCGTTGAACAAAACGATACTCAAAAAGATGTTTTTAATTTCTTTTAAAGAAATAAGTATTTTGCAGTTAAGCTCCACCCCCTTGGCTTACGACAAATAAAAAAAATCATCACAATTGAAACAGGGTGGGTGGGCGGGCTTACATTTTGCTTTTTTGTTTTAATATGTGTAGACTTCTTTTCATAACAAGAAACGTAAAACACGTTTAAAATGGAAAATTTGTACACGGAAATATCGATTTTGCAATTAGACTCCGCCCTATATTTTAAGTTTCTTGTTGTAAAAAGATAGCTATGTGTATTAAGAAAAAAGGCAAAATATAAGCCCCGCCCACCCGCCCTATCTCAATTCTGATGATTCTTTTTATTCGTCGTGAGCCAAGAGGGCGGAACTTAACTGCAAAATCCTTATTTGATTACAAAAATTACCATTTTAAACGTGATTAAGTTTCTAAGAATTAAAAAACAATTGAGATAGAGCGGGTGGGCGGGGTTTATAGATTGTTTTTTTTTTTATTATATATAGTATTCTTTGAATGCTATACTCAAAATTAATTTCTTGTAGTGAAACAAGTATTTTACAGATAAAAACTCCGCCCCCTTGGCTCTCTCGGCGAATAAAAAAAATCATCACAATTGAGACAGAGTGGGTGGGCGGGCTTTCATTTTTCCTTTTTGTTTTAATATGCGTAGACTCCTTGTCACAACAAGAAATTTTAAACATGTTTAAAATGGAAAATTTGTATACGGAAATATCGATTTTGCAATTAGGCTCCCCCTATGTTTAAGTTTCTTGATGTGAAAAGATGGCTATGTATATTAAGAAAAAAAAGGCAAAATATAAGCCCCGCCCACCCGCCCTGTCTCAATTCTGATGATTCTTTTTATTCGTCGTGAGCCAAGAGGGCGGTGTTTAACTGCAAAATCCTTATTTCATTAGAAAAATTACTATTTTAAACGTGTTTTAAGTTTCTAAGAATAAAAAAATTATGACAATTGGGATGGGGGGGGTGGGCGGGGTTTATATTTTGACTTTTTTTTTAATATGCATAGTATGCATTGAACAAAACGATACTCAAAAATATGGTTTTAATTTCTTGTAAAGAAATAAGTATTTTGCAGTTAAGCCCCGCCCTCTTGGTTCTCGGCGAATATAAAAAATCATCACAATAGAGACAGGGTGGGTGGGCGGAGCTACATTTTGCCTTTTTGTTTTAATATGCGTAGACTTATTTTCACAACAAGCAACTTAAAACATGATTAAATGGACAATTTGTATAGGAAAATATCTATTTTGCAATTAGAATCCGCCCTATGTTTTAAGTTTCTTCTTGTGAAAAGATGGCTATGTATATTAAGAAAAAAAAGGCAAAATATATGCCCCGCCCGCCCGCCCTATCTCAATTCTGATGATTTTTTTATTCGTCGTGAGGCAAGAGGGCGGAGCTTAACTGCAAAATTCCTATTTCATTACAAAAATTACCATTTTAAACGTGTTTTAAGTTTCTAAGAATAAAAAAAATCATGACAATTGGGATGGGGTGGGTGGGCGGGGTTTAAATTTAAATTTAAAATCAGTTAGATAATCTTATTGGTGGATTAATAGGATTATTAGTTTGAATTTCGCGCCAAAAATTTTGTCTTCCAGGAATGGAAAAGATTAATTTCAGCGGCGGAGAGCCGTTCCTGCCTCAGCGAGGGCGCCATTTGGGCGAAATGGTAAAATATTGCAAAACCGTCCTAAACCTACCCTCGGTTTCGATAGTGTCGAATGGGTCCCTAATTTCGGAAAAGTGGTTCCAAACTTATGGACAGTTTGTGGACATTATGGCCGTATCGTGCGACTCTTTCAACGAAGACACCAACAAGGTAAAATTTAGACAAATTTCGACCCATTTACTTACTTATTAAAAAAAAAAAAAACAGACGATTGGCCGCTACCAGAGTAACAAAAACCACATAGAGCAGCTGCTAAGAGTGCGAAATTGGTGCCACGACTACAACGTTCTCTTCAAATTGAACACCGTGGTCAACACTTATAACAAAGACGAAGACATGAATGAAGAAATACTGAATATAAATCCGGTGAGGTGGAAGGTATTTCAGTGCTTGCTTCTCGAGGGTGAGAACGCCGGCCCCGACGCCCTACGAAACGCAGAACGATTTTACATAGACGACGCCACTTTTGAAAAGTTTTTAGAACGGCACAAACACGTTGGATGTTTGGTTCCAGAATCCAACACCAAAATGCAAAACAGCTATCTGATTCTCGACGAATATGTAAGTGTTTTGTTGATTTTGAGACACAATTATAGTAGTTTTTATTTTAGATGAGGTTCCTGGACTGCACTGGCGGTTCCAAGGTTCCGTCAAAGTCAATTCTGGATATAGGTGTGGAAAACGCCTTATTGTTCTCTGGGTTTGACGAAGCCATGTTCAAGAAGAGAGGGGGGTTTTATAAATGGTCCAAAGAAGCGGAAAAGTACAGCTGGTAGAGTAGTGTTGATTTAAAAATTGTTACTTAAGTTTTATATTGTAATCTCATTTTATACTTAAATTAAGTATTTTTCGTATTACGTGTACGTAATAATTTTATATACGTTACAAATGAATAAATTTTGAAACTAGTTATTTTTGCTATGTTTTCCTGCCGAAATTTAAACCTTCTAGTGATTTTGTTTGGTGGGTTGGTACGGTCAGCCCTGCTCGACGCCGTCGCCCCCTACAAACGTCAAGAACGAGACACAACATGGTGTTTATTTCTTAACAGAAACTATTCTTGCTTCTTTGTTGCTATTTTAACCCAGTTTTTAAAAATGAGACCAAATATAAGAGTGGAGATCCAGAATAACCTCGTGGAGTCGATGGAAGTGGACGAAAATGAAGAAGGTGAGATTTCCGACCACGAAGAAAACGAGACCGAGGAACAAGCTCAAGTTCCGCCACCAGAAGCCACCAGGGTGGGTAAAAGTGCATAATTTGTTTATTTATAGCGATACGCGAGGATTTTTATTGTTATTACCGTGAAAAAGGGGCTAAAATTATTCATTAAAGTGATCTGTAGTGAAAATGGCGTTCCAAGATTAAAAGTGCAAATAAACCCATCTGTATCAATATTGTATGTATATAGAAGCGAAATATTGGACCAGTGGCCACAAAGAACCCTCAGTAGATACAGAATGGGTGTTTAAACGGGTTTTTTTAATTAATAAAACCAAGTTTAACGGTATGTTTAACAGTGCAGTGAAAAGCGATACCAGAGCTAATGGAAGCTTAATCATTGATAACAACAAATTTTAGAAAATATTATCCGTTCACGATCTTTATATAGTAGGGTTGGCCATGAAAATCTAGTGAGTTTGTTGGTATTCGATGCAGAAGAATAAAAATTCCCTGAACTTTTTTCGTTAGGTTGTTTTATTGAATTAAAAGTTAAAAAATATTCCTGCATTTCACATTTTTTACTAGAAAAAGGGGGTGGTTTATCCAATGCTGAATTATTTCCGTCTAATTATAATGTAGTAAGATGCGACAGAAAATTTGACACTGTGGCTCGTACTATGGGTGGTGGTGTGGTTGCTGGTTTAATTAATAAAATAACCTGTGAAATAATTGACACTGCAGCTATTGGAAATTTAGTTCCACTAATTGATTTTATTATTTGTAAATGTCAGTGCAGCTCACATATTTTGTTCTTAGTAGCATGTTACATTCCACCTCAGGTCTCTCTTGCGGACTATGAATTATTTTTTGAGGCTGTTGAGGTTCTTCTGGTAGGCCAATCTATTTTGTTGGTTGGTGATTTTAACTTACCCCATTTTAATAATTTGCATACAAATTGTCCTAAAGTAAGATCACTCCGAAGTTTTTGTGACTCACTTCAACTACATCAACATAATAGCATTCGTAATTTGAACAATGAACGACTAGATTTAGTCTTTTCGAATCTTCAGAAAATTGTTGTAAGCCGAGAACTACACCCCTTTGTTAAAGAAGATTCTTATCACCCGGCCTTGTCACTATACGTTGAATATCCGTCTAAGTCAAATGTATCGTTCTTTCCCTCTGCAAAAACTACAAGGTATAACTTCCGTAAAGCCAATTTCTTATATTTATATGATGACCTCCTTAGTATTGACTGGACTTTTCTGGAAAAATGTCTTGACGTCGATGATGCGCTTGACACATTCTATGATCATCTATATAACATTTTGAATTGTTCCGTGCCTCAGTATGCTGCCTGTAGTCACAAAGCTTCTTATCCACCATGGTTTACACCAAGTATTATCTCTAACCTAAAAGCTAAAGACTACTATAGAAAAAAGTGGTTATCATCAAATGTAGACTCATTCTTCGAAGAATATAAAAGACTTCGGGCACTTTGTAAAAGACAAATATCGCTTTCTTATCGAGATTATATAATGAAGGTTGAAAACTAAGTTCGTAATAACCCCCGCGAAATTTTTAAATATCTTCAGTTAAAGCAAGGTACTACAAGAATACCCGGTAAAATGTATCAAGATGACGTATCGTTTGAAACTCCTGAAGAAATAGTGAATGGCTTTGCACAAGTTTTCTCAAGTATATATCACCCTGCCTCAAATGTGACTCCCAATGACAATTGCAATCTTCCATCTTTTAAACTTATGTGTGTGTCTGACCAGGAAGTCGTGAAAATTATGGCCTCTTTTCCTATTAAACATACTGCGGGAGATGATCAAATTCCCAGTTTTTTGATCCACGACGCAAGATATGCTTTAGCGACACCATTGACAATAATCATCAATAAAGCTATCTCCAGTTCTTCTTTTCCTGACTCGTTGGAAACGTGCGAGAATTGTACCGGTGCACAAGAAAAATGATTACACCCAGTTGAAAAACTATCGACCGATTGCAATTCTGTCTAATTTTGCCAAGGTTTTTGAGCAAGTAATTTACAAATCCATATTCAATCACATTCAGCCCTATATATCCCCAAATCAACACGGCTTCCTACCTGGTAGATCCACAATAACAAATTTAATAACTATTACTCAGTTTATATGTGAGCAATTAGATAATGCTGGTCAAGTGGATGTTGTCTACACCGATTTTTCTAGTGCTTTCGATATGGTTGATCATGGCTTGCTACTAAACAAACTTAATTCTTTTGGTCTTGCACCATCATTTATTGCTCTTATTAAGTCATACCTCTCAAATCGAATAAACTATGTTTTTTATAACGGGTTTACATCGTATGAATATGTCTCGACATCAGGTGTACCGCAGGGTTCCAATCTGGGACCACTGTTTTTCATAGTTTTTATTAACGATTTGCTCAGATCTCTTACATGTCCTGTACTTGCATATGCAGACGATTTAAAAATTTATTCCTCTGTATTCAATGATATGGATGTAAATCTTCTACAGGATAACATAAATATTATTGCTCAATATTCAGTGTCTAATTTCTTAACTTTGAATGTGGATAAGTGCTATTTTCTTACGTTTACTCGCAAAATAAAGTCAGTTTCTTCATCATATAATATTAATGGTCATGTACTTCTCAAAGCAGATTCAGCAAAAGATCTCGGAGTACTTTTTGACTCAAATCTTACTTTTATTAACCATATTGAATCCACAGTATCATCGGCATCAAAATCCCTTGGATTTATAATGCGTACATCGAAATTCTTTAACGATTTCTCTCTCCTTAAGACGTTGTATTTTTCGTTTGTTCTAAGCAAGTTAGAATATGCATGTGTGGTCTGGGCCCCATATTACGTGTGTCATCAGTTAACCATCGAAAAAATTCAACGAAGATTCCTAAAATATTTATCTTTCAAGATCGATGGAATATACCCACCTAGACATGTTGATTATGACAATTTACTGCGACGGCATAATTTTCAGTCGCTTTTTAGTCGTCGAAAAGAATATGGTGCTCATTTTATTTGGAAGCTTATTCACAATCGCTTAGACTGTAGCAACATATTATCGCTTATAAAATTTCATGTGCCACGCTTGAACTCTCGATATGCATCAACTTTTGATTTTTCTACACCAAAAACAAATATACTTAGGAGAGCACCGCTGACAACTATGTGCCATGATGCTGATGCATTTTATTATGATATTTTTAATGATAAAATGTAATTTCTTCTCTATTAGTTTCTTTAATTGATTAGTACGTATTATTTTATTGGTTTTTATATTAGGGTTTTACATTTGGTTATTGTATTTATCATAAAATTTTAAGTTAATTATAGATTTGTGCGTAACATTTAATTTAGATTTTGTCCTGTAATAGGGTAACAACCTGTTGGGCAATAAAGGCTATTATTATTATTATTATTATTATTAACTGAACCAAATGATAATTTCGTTATTCGTGTACACCATCCACTCCGGGAGATTTATAAACGTCCTGTTTATTTCGTGCAAATTGTGCTCCATTTTTATGGGTGAAGAGTTGAATTGGTGAAATTAGCGTCTGTAACAAATCATTTCAAGTATCATTACACCGAATTTTTAAAAAATTCGTGCGTGGATTCTGCCATGTCTAGGGAAATTTAACTGTTACCAACATAGTTCACACATTGGTGTAAAAAAAATAAATTTACTGTTGACGTTGCTGATGCCGCTGCCGTTGCGTTTAGAGCTGAAAATTGTCATTTATTTAAGATTACTACAAAAATTTAGCATTTTAGACATGTTTTAAGTTTCTTGTTGTCGAAATAAGTCTACACATATTAAGAAAAAAAAAGGCAAAATATTAACCCCGCCCACCCGCCCTATCTCAATTCCGATGATTTTTTTATTCGTCATCTGCCAAATGGGCGGAGCTTAACTGCAAAATCCTTATTTCTCTACGAGAAATTAAAAAGTGTGTTTGAGTATCGTGTTGCTAAACAAAATACCATGTATATTAAGAAAAAATTAAATTCCACCCACACTTGCCCTGATCTAAACAGTAATAAAGTTTTCATTCGTTGGGCAGCCTAGAGGAGGAGCCTAATTGCAAAATCCATACTTCCCTACAAAAATTTACCATTTTGAACGTGTTTTAAATTTCTAAGAATAAGAAAAATCATCACAATTGAGATGGGGTGGGTGGGCGGGGTATATTTTGTATGTTTTTTCTTAATATACGTAGTATTCTTTGAACAACAATACTCAAACACATGTTTTTAATTTGTTGTAAAGAAACGAATATTTTGCAGTTAAGCTCCGCCCCCTTGATTCACGACGAATTAAAAAAATCATCACAATCGAGATAGGGCAGGTGGGCGGGCTTACATTTTGCTTTTTTTTCTTTAATGTGTTCTTTTCATAAGAAGACACTTAAAACATGTTAAAATGGAAAACTTGTATAAGGAAATATCGATTTTGCAATTAGGTTCCATCCATAATTGCAAAATCCATATTTCCTTGTAAAAATGTACCATTTTAACATTATTTTACGTTTCTTGTGAAAATATAGCTACGTAAATTTAGAAAAAAAAATCAAAATATTAACCCCGCCCACCCGCCCTATGTCATTTCCGATGATTTTTTTTATTCGTCATCTGCCAAAGGGGCGGAGCTTAACTGCAATATCCTTATTTCGCTACGAGAAATTAAAAAATGTGTTTGAGTATCGTGTTGCTAAAAAAAATACCATGTATATTAAGAAAAAATTAAAACCCACCCATACTTGCCTTGATCTAAATAGTAATGAAGTTTTCATTCGTTAGCAGACTAGGGGCGGAGCCTAATTGAAAAATCCGTACTTCCCTACAAAAATTTACCATTTTGAATGTGTTTTAAATTTCTAAGAATAAAAAAGATCATCACAATTGAGATCGGGCGGGTGGGCGGGCTTACATTTTGCTTTTTTTTTTTTTTTTTTTCTTTAATGTGTAGACTTTTCATAAGAAGACACATAAAACATGGTTAAAATGGAAAACTTGCATAAGGAAATATCGATTTTACAATTACGTTCCATCCATAATTGCAAAATCCATATTTCCTTGTAAAAATGTACCATTTTAACATTATTTTAAGTTTCTTGTGAAAAGATAGCTACGTAAATTTAGAAAGAAGCAAGCAAAATATTAACCCCGCCCACCCACCCTATCTCAATTCTCATGATGTTTTTATTTGTCATCTGCCAAATGGGCGGAGCTTAACTGCAAAATCCTTATTTCTCTACGAGAATTTAAAAAATGTGTTTGAGTATCGTGTTGCTAAAAAAAATACCATGTATATTAAGAAAAAATTAAAACCCACCCATACTTGCCTTGATCTAAATAGTAATGAAGTTTTCATTCGTTGGCAGATTAGGGGCGGAGCCTAATTGAAAAATCCATATTTCTCTACAAAAATTTACCATTTTGAACGTGTTTTAAATTTCTAAGAATAAAAAAGATCATCACAATTGAGATGGGGTGGGTGGGCGGGGATAATATTTTGCCTTTTTTTTCTAAATTTACATAGTATTCTTTGAACAACACGATACTGAAAAACACGTTTTATTTGTCTTGTAAAGAAATAAGTATTTTGCAGTGAAGGTCTGCCCACTTGCTTCTCGGCGAATAAAAAAAAATCATTACAATTGAGAGAGGGCGGGTGGGCGGGTTTACATTTTGGCCTTTTGTTTTAAAATGTGTAGACGTCTTTTCACAACAAGAAACTTAAAACATGTTTAAAATGGAAAATTTGTATAACGAAATATCAATTTTGCAATTAGGCTCCCCCACACATTTTTGGTTCAACTTTGCTAAAGCAGGAATGAGCTGATTGATCACCCAATTTTGAAAAATTGTCCCGTCCATCGTTTTATGATAGTTTCTATCGTTATTTTTTGAATTAAAAAATTGTTACAACCATCCAAGAACCCCGTCGAACAACCCGCTTGGAGAATAACAAACCTTGATCCTTCACTTTTAATTTTGGTGGGATTGCTTTCTAGATCAGTATCGTGCACCCAGCGACGAATGGACGAACCATTTTGATAGATCCATGTTTCATCCAAATACACGAAAGTCAAATTTCCACAAGAATTTAGAAACTGTGAATATGTTCTCAAAAAAGTAATTTTCATGTTTTTGTTCACATACAATTTTGCGACCATTTACTTCCCTGTGTTTGTAAGCCACTGACTTAAGAATTTTGTATAATGTGGTTCGCCCCCCTTTAAATTCCAACTGTTCCCTAGAATATGCCAAAAGAGTATCTACAGTGAAATATTCGTTTTTTTCATTAAGTTGCCAAATTTGTGGTTGCAGGTCTTTCCGAAACATAATTTGTAAATAAATCCGTTGGTTTTCGCTTGCCCTGTTGATAAAATTTTCGCCAGTTGATGTTCCCACCTATGAGAAAAAAAATTAAAAAATATTTTGCAGCGTATTTTTACATTACAGAAAATATGTTCGGGCAATTTTTTGTTGCACTAAAACTATTTTAGACATTTTCTTTTGAAATAATGTCGCAATGATCTGTGAATCTGTCACAATGACAAATTATCTATGCTGATAAAATTAAAACATTTGTTTGCTGGATTAAAAATTGCGTCTAATAATTCTGATTTATAAATGAAGTAGAAAAGTGGCAATCCAGCTCAAAGCAAATGTCAATCATACTAGTGACAGACAAAAAACTAAATCATCAAATCAGTTTATCCAACTTAAAGAAAAAATATCAAAGCCTACTTTACTATGTAAAGATCGTGAATGGATAATATTTGCGTTAATAAAAAAATTCAGGAAGCCGTATCAGATCTAAATATTGATTTAATAATTGTTGAAGTGACGTCAACAAATTTCAAATAAAAACATTTCGACGTTTTGCGTTAATATTTATGATAGTTGACTTTTGTTTGATTTTTTAAATAGTCCTTGAATTTGACACTTCCTTTTTTTTCCAGAGCGCCAATCCCCCTTTCCCCGGCTTCACCACCACCGAAGACAAGCTCCAAGAGCGCGCGAAAAGATTCGCCTTAAATCCCGAGGAGATAAAAAACTTTAAAGACGACGATTTACAACTCCTTCACAGTAGTTTAGGGATAAGCGCGTCGAACGAATCGAACGTGCGGTTTGAGGTAATTCATATGAGAGGGATAGAGCAAATGAACGCTGGAGATCTTTTAGATTATTTTCTGGAATACGCACCGGTTTCGGTCGAATGGATAGACGAAGTGAGTTGCAATATCGTCTGGTTGGACAAAATCTTGTCGGCGCGAGCTTTGCACTTCATGTCGAAGCCGGTCAGAGGCATGCCGGTACGGGACGACACGAGCTACTTCGACCACTTGAACGAGAGCACGGAAGAGGTGGATCAGAGCATACTCGTGATTAATCGGAATCGGGAGGTGCAGCTGAAGGAGGATAGCGAAGAAGCGACGACGAATAAGTTGTTGAATGAGCACAATTCGGTCGATATTTCGGAAATCACCGCGACCATACCACCCGGGTATTGGAGACTGGGGGGTTCACACCCGAAGGCGAAGTGTTTACTATTACGATTCGCCCTCAAGACTGACAAACAACACTTTAAAGTAGAACAATTTAGTCGCTATTATAAGAATCAGAGTAAGAAGAAAGCGCCACTGCAGGTGGGTAAACCACCGAATCAGGGTATTTTCGGCCGAAACAAAGACATGCGCAAAGTAAACGAGGATAATCCGTGGACCGTACTGGCGAAGAACTGGGATGAAGACGCCCAGTTCCGAGAAAAAGAGAGGACGCAAATCGCTGAAGTCCCGAAGGTAGAAATCAAAAACCACAGTCTTAGGAATCGCTTGGGTCAGAAGCGAAAGGACCCCGAACCTGAAGAACCCGAAGAACCTGAACCCGTCGCACCGAAAAAGAAAGTGAAAATACCGAGAATGCGAATGTATGCGGACGAAGAAGAAGAGAAAATCAAACGAAAACACATGTTGCAGCGAATCAACAACCAGATTAAGAAAATCGACCAAGACGTTTCTACCAATTCTGACTTGCGGACGGTTTTGAATATGACCCATCGGACTCACGCGGTCAAGTTGGACAAGTCCGAGCCCGAGGTGTTCGACTTAGGGAGTAGGTTGAAAAATCGGAACAAGAAGATGGTGTTTCAAATAAAATCGGAGGACGGAGAGGAAGCTTTGACTGAAGAGGTGTCCCACTCGCGTCGGGACAAGGAAGACCGGCACAGGGTACACCGGAGGAGGTATTCACACAGCGACGACGAAGACACGAGTTACCGAAGACACGACAAGCCCAAGAGTAAAGTCGCTGTGGTTATTAAAACCCAGAAGAGGCCTGCGGTCGCGTCTGCCGTAGCTTCCACTGTGCTCTCCCGGGTTAAAGGTAAATCCAACTCCGAGACGGAGTCGGAGTCGGAGTCCAGCGAATCCGAGGGTTCCGAGAGCGAGTCGGAGGAAGTCGAGGAGTTGGTACAAAGTCGCAGAATCACCAATCGGCCCGGTTTCACCTCTCGTTCCAAGGACCACTCAGTACATTCTGCTTACAAAAGCCCGTTAAAAATTGAAATTAATAACGACCATTTTAAGCGGTCTTAAGGGGATTTTAATTGGGTTATGAGGTGTAGTTTTTAATTTATATGGAAAATTTTTATCAACTATACTTATTTTTACATTTATGTTTTGTCGTGTATATATAGCAAGATTTTCTCATTGCGTACGTTATTTATCCCGTGTTTCCCATTTCGTAACACTGGGTAAGTGTTTGTTGATCAAGCGAGTTATCATTGTAAACAAATAACTTGACCCCTTTTGGTTTTCGTTCGTTCAAATCTAAATTATAATTTTCTAGAAGTCTTAAAAAGTGTTGCAATTACAAGTGGCTTGTAATTACGCCAAAACAACCATTTCGTTGGCGAAACGCGTAATTTTTTCGTAAACAACTTTATCAGTGGCTTTGTTACATGAAAAAATCCAATTTTTCCGACGAAAAGGTACACAACACACTTGAACCTATTTACTTAAAAGGCGGAAACTAGTTCTTAGTCAATCGTGCCACTATATAAGTTAACACTGACAATATTTCGTTCGTCAGTTGGTGCCAAGATGAAGTTCGTAGCGCTCTTTTTTGTGACTTGTGTCTTCCAAGTCGTTGTCGGTAAAGATTTACTGAAAAAGGACCCCTCGGGCGACGTTGTGGTAAGTATAAGGGTCGATTTATAAACTTGTTGCTGTTCGCCGTTGACGTTGCGTTTCAACCAATCAAATTGCGGTAGTTTTTCACAAGAAGAAAGGTAGAACAAGTCTAAATTGGTAAATGTTTGTGGGAAAGGATCGATTTTGCAATTAGGCTCCGCCCCTTGGTCTAACAACGAATGAAAAATTTGTCACAATTTGTCCATTTTTCGTTGTCATGGAATTTTTTAATTAATGTAAGTCTGGCTATTACCAGTGGCGTAACATTTTTGATGAACAAAATGTCAAATTTGACAAACTTTGACATTCGAGCGCCCATGATTTGAACATACATTTACAACAGAGAAAATTATCGTGTACTTTTGGAAGACCGCAACTGTACATAGTATTCTTTGAACAACACCATACTCAAAAACATGTTTTTATTGCTTGTAGAAAAATAAAGATTTTACAATTAAGCTCCGCCCCTCGGCTCACGACGAATAAAAAAAGTCGTGAGAATTGAAATAGGGCGGGTGGGCGGGGCTTATATTTTTCACAACAAGAAATTTAAAACATGGTTAAAATGGTACATTTTCTTAAGGAAATATGGATTTTGTAATTATGGAACGGAGCCTAATTGAAAATTTCCTTATACAAATTTTCCATTTTAAACATGTTTTAAGTTTCTTGATGTGAAAAGAAGTCTACACATATTAAAATAAAAAAGCAAAATGTAAGCCCGCCCACCCACCCTATCTCAATTGTGATGATTTTTTTTATTCGTCGTGAACCAAGGGGGCAGAACTTGACTGCAAAATTCTTATTTCTTTACAAGAAATTAAAAACATGCTTTTGAGTATCGTGTTATTTAAAAGATATTATGTATATTAAGAAAAAAAGGAAAAATATTAACCCCGCCCACCCACCCCATCTCAATTGTGATGATCTTTTTCTATTTTTGGAAACTTAAAACACGTTTAACATGATAAATTTTTCTAAGAAAATATGGATTTACAATTAAGCTCCGCCACTCCGCTTACGACGAATAAAAAAAATCATCAGAATTGAGATAGGGTGGGTGGGCGGGGCTTAAATTTTGCCCTTTTTTTTATAATGTACGTAGCCACCTTTTTACAACAAGAAATTTAAAACCTGGTTAAAATTGTACGTTTTTGAAAGGAAGTATGGATTTTGTAATTATGGGGCGGAGCCTAATTGCAATCTATATTTCCTTATACAAATTTTCCATTTTGAATATGCTTTAAGTTTCATGTTGTAAAAAGAAGTCTACACATAATAAAACGAAAAGGCAAAATGTAACCCCGCCCACCCGCCCTATTTAAATTCTGATGATTTTTTTTATGCGATGAACCAAGGGGGCGGAGCTTAACTACAAAATTCTTATTTCTTTACAAGACATTAAAAACATGTTTTTGAGTATCGTGTTGTTTAAAGGATATTATGTATATTAAGAAAAAAAAAGAAAAATATTAACCCCGCCCGCCCACCCCATCTCAATTGTGATGATTTTTTTCTATTTTTGGAAACTTAAAACACGTTTAACATGATAAATTTTTCTAAGAAAATATGGATTTTAGAATTAAGCTCCGTCCCTCCGCTTACGACGAATAAAACAAATCATCAGAATTGAGATAAGACTGATTTTGGCAGATGACCCACTCTTCTAAGCAAATAAGGGAGGGAGGGCGGGGGCTAGTACTTGCCAAGATAAGACTGAATTTGGCAGATAACTTATTCTTCCAAGGAAATAAAGGCTGCGTGGGTGGGAGAATACTTGCTAAAAATAAAAAAATGACAAATTGAAAAATCGAATAAATGAGAAATCGGAAAATTGTACAACTGTATAATCGGAAAATCAAAAACTGAAATATCGAAAAATTGAAAAAAAAAAACAAATCTTATAAAATCGAATTCGAAATTCCAGTTTTAATTTTTTTTAGTTTTTAGATTTTTGAGCTTTCAAATATTAAATTAAGTTTATAACATTTGATAATTTGTTTGACAATTTTGCAGTTTTTAATTCTAATCTTATGATGTTTCAAGTTTTAACTAGACAATTTTGGAATTTTTTGATTTTTAATTTTTCAAGTTTTCAAGTTAAAATTTTTCATTTTCACGATTTCTCATTTTTCGATTTAAATTGTGTACTTTTTTTCTTAATATACTTAGCCATCTTTTTATAACAAGAAATTTAAAACATGGTTAAAACGTACATTTTTGGAAGGAAGTATGGATTTTGTAATTATGGGGCGGAGCCTAATTGCAAAATCGATATTTCCTTATACAAATTTTCAATTAACATGTTTTAAGTTTCATGTTGTGAAAAGAATTTTACACATATTTAAACAAAAGGCAAAATGTAAGCCCGCCCACCCGCCCTATCTAAATTGTAATGATTTTTTTTTATTCGCCGTGAACCAAGGGGGCGGAGCTTAACTGCAAAATTCTTATTTCTTTACAAGAAATTAAAAACATTATTATTATTATTATTATTAATATTATTATTTAACCAATAACAGATAAACCATTTATAAGGATGGGGAAGAAATAAGAAAAAAACAGAAAATCCAATTCAAAATTATAAACCACACGATACTCAAAAACATGCTTTTGAGCATCGTGTTGTTCAAAGGATACTATGTATATTAAGAAAAAATGGAAAAATATTAACCCCACCCACCCACCCTATCTCAATTGTGATGATTTTTTCTATTCTTAGCATCTTAAAACACATTAAACATGATACATTTTTCTAAGAAAATATGGATTTTACAATTAAGCTCCGCCCCTCCGCTTACGACGAATAAAAAAAAATCATCAGAATTGAGATAGGGTGGGTGGGCGGGGCTTAAATTTTGCCCGTTTTTCTTAATATACATAGCCATCTTTTTACAACAAGAAATTTAAAACATGGTTAAAATTGTACGTTTTTGAAAGAAAGTATGGATTTTGTAATTATGGGGCGGAGCCTTATTGCAAAATCTATATTTTCTTATACAAATTTTCCATTAACATGTTTTAAGTTTCATGATGTGAAAAGAAGTATACACATATTAAAATAAAAAGCCAAATGTAAGCCCGCCCACCCACCCTATCTCAATTGTGATGATTTTTTTTATGCGCCCTGAACCAAGGGGGAAGAGCTTAACTGCAAAATTCTTATTTCTTTACAAGAAATTAAAAACATGTTTTTGAGTATCGTGTTGTTCAAAGGATACTGTGTATATTAAAAAAAGGGAAAATATTAACCCCGCCCACCCACCCCATCTCAATTGTGATGATTTTTTTCTATTTTTGGAAACTTAAAAGACGTTTAACATGATAAATTTTCGTAAGAAAATATGGATTTTACAATTAAGCTCCGCCCCTCCGCTTAACGACGAATAAAAAAAATCATCAGAATTGAGATAGGGTGGGTGGGCGGGGCTTAAATTTTGCCCTTTTTTCTTAATATACATATCCATCTTTTTACAACAAGAAATTTGGATTTTGCAATTATGGGGCGGAGCCTTATTGCAAAATCAATTTTTTCCTTATACAAAATTTCCATTTGAAACACATTAAAATAACAAGCCAAAATGTAAGCCCCCCCCCCCCCACCCACCCTGTCTCAATTGTGATGATTTTTTTTTTATTCGCGGAGAACCAAGGGGCGGAGCTTAACTGTAAAACACTTATTTCTTTACAAGGAATTAAAAACATTTTTGAGTATCATGTTGTTCAAAGAATACTATGTAGGTATATTAAGAAAAAGAGCCAAAATGTGAACCCGCCCAATCGCAATTGTGATCATTTTTTTTTTATTCTTAGAAACTTAAAACACGGTAAATTTTTGTAAGGAAATATGGATTTTGCAATTAGGCTCCGCCCCTAGGTTTGCCAACGAATGAAAACTTCATTGCTCTTTGGATCAGGGCAGACATGGGTGGGGCTTAATCTTTGGGTTTAATTTTTTCTTAATACATATACGTACGTACCATTCTTTGAATAACACAATACTCAAAAACATGTCTGACATGGTAGTTTCTTGTAGAGAAATAAGACGGATTTTGCAATTAAATTTCGCTCCTTTGGCTCTCGACAATAAAAAAAAATTATCACAATTGAGACAGGGCGGGTGGGCGGGGCTAAAATTTTGCCTTTTTTCTTAACATACATTGTCGTCTTTTCAGGCCAAGAACCTTAAAACATGTTTAAAACACTTGTAGAGAAATGTGGATTTTGCAATTAAGCTCCACCCCTCGGCTCACGACGAATAAAGAAAATCATCACAACTGCGATAGGGCGGGTGGGCGGGGCTTATATTTTGTTTTGTATGTGAAGCAAAAACTGGCTTGTTTTTTGAAATTCGCAGCTATTCAGCTATTCAAAATGTTTGTACACGTAAGAAAAACAAATAATTTACATAGAAGTAATTGAGGAAAGCCTTGTATAAAAAATATGTGTATCATAGTTGACTAATTAATACTAATAACTTTTTGTATGTCACATTACATGAATAACATATGGTAACAGGAAAAATTAACTACGATGATACGATTTAAATCTGTATCTAATTTATATTGTGCTTGGTATTTTTCTATTTTGAATTTTTCTGATTTTGTAAAAAAATATACTCTATTTTTTTTATTCGTCGTAAGCCGGGAGGAGGAGCTTAATTGAAAAATCCATATTTCTCTGCAAAAATTGACCATTTTGAACATGTCTTAAGTTTCTCGTTTTTTTTTTTTTTTTAATTATATGTAATCTCTTCATAACAAGATACTTAAAACATGTGTTCAAAATGGTCAACTTTTGTAGGGAAATATGGATTTTCACAATGGAGATAGGGTGGGGGGGCGGGGCTTATATTTATCCTTGTTTTTTTTTAATACATGTAATTTTCTTTTCATAACAAGAAACTGAAAACATATTCAAAATAGTAAATTTTTGCTCACGACGAATGAAAAATTCATCACAATTGAGGTTGGGGCGGGTGGGTGGGGCGTAATTTTTACCTTTTTTTCTCGTAATACAGTTTTCTTTCAACAATAGAATACTTAAGATATCAAATTCACCATTTGATACTTCAAATATTCTATTGTGGAGAGAAAACTATATAAAGATTAAGCCCCACCCACCCGCCCCTGTCTCAATTGTGATGAATCTTTCATTCGTTGTCACACGGAGGAACGGAGCTTAAATGCAAAATTCATATTTCGGAACAAAAATTTACCATTTTGAACATGCTTTAAGTTTCTTGTTATGAAAAGATTATATATATTTAAAAAAACAAAGCCAAATATAAGCCCCGCCCACCCGCCCTATCGCATTTGTGATGATTTTTCTTATTTGTCGTGAGCCGGGGGGTGGAGCATAATTACAAAATTCATATTTCTCTATACAAGTTTACCATTTTGAACATATTTTAAGTTTCTTGTTGTGAAAAGATTACATATATCTAAAAAAAAATGAGGTACGAGTGGGGCCTAATCTTTGGCTTTATTTTTTTCGCAATATACACAGTATACTTTGAACGACACCTGTTTTTAATAATGATTTTGCAGTTAAGCTCCGCCCCGTTGGCTCACGACGAATAAAAAAGGGTCATCACAATTGCGATAGGGTGGGTGGGCGGGCATACATTTTGCCTTGTTTTTCTTAATTTTCAGCTGTAAAAGCAACGTCAGCGGCAACAACTTCACACTTACCTAATTACAACACAAACAATTTATAACGCGCTTTTTCAGATTCATGCCACCAACAAGACGTCTGTTCCTTCAATCCACTACGTTATCGATGCCGTTGACTGTCTAAAACAAGCCTACACAGTTTATTCCGATTCTTCGGACAGAACCCAAGTCTATGCCGAACTCTTTCAAGAAAAACATAACGAAACTGGGTGGAACGTCGTCGCTGGGTACACAGCCGCCTACATTAAATCCAAATGGTACATCGAAGCGACGGTCACAAATGGGAAGTATCAAGATAGCAAGAAGGACAGCGACTTTAAGAGCACTTTATATTTAATTTTTTCGACCGAGTGATTGCAAAATCTCTAACTAAACACTGATGAGTGTGTAGATTAACACATAAAACAAATCCATGAGTAAATAAAATTACCCCAAATCTGTAATATAACAATGTAGACACGCAATTAAACAATAAAGAGTTAGAATAGCATAAAACTGTGTCGTTAGTTTGTTGGTGCATTGAAATGATGGAGTTTCCTTTCGTGATTAAAAAAATCCACAAAAAATGGTACGTCGTGGTTAGTTTATACCCCAATCACTATCTTGTCGTTCCAGCTACACCAACGGTAAGCACACCATTCAGCGGTTCATGACTAAAAGTGGCCACTTGAACTTGCAACTAAGCCAAGTCCCGTACTACAAGTACTTTCGGTTTACTAAGGACTTCGCTAACACGTTGGTGTCGCTGCGGTGGCGATGGGTCACGTTCATGGTAGTAGCAGCCAACTTCTTCTTCTATGTTGCTTTCGCGGGGTTGTGGATGCTCGACGCTTGGCTAAGCGGCGACTTCAACCCCGCCAAAACCCACAATTTTTGTGTGGAACACGCTAGATGTTTCAGCGGATATTTACTCTTGAGTGTCGAAACCATCACGACAACGGGTTATGGGTACTTGTACCCAACCGAAAACTGTCAATTCGCGTGGTTTACTCTCATGTTGAGCACCATAGTGATGATTTTGATTGACGGCACGTTCATTTCGATTGTTTTTTTGAAAATTTGTAAACCGCTGCGAAAAGACGGTTTGACTTTGTTTAGCAAGAAGTGTGTGGTGAGTATAGTCGCTTGAAACGTGATACATATATATTGTAGATTTGTTTAAGAAACGGCAAGCTATGTTTAGTGTTTCGTGTCAACGACCATCTGAACAAGCACGCGATTGAGTCAAAAGTGACGATTTATTTTGTTGGTCGGAGTAATGTGAAACAGGAGGATTTTCATGCGAGTTTGCAAGAAATGGAAGTGACTTCGGGTGGGATGTTTTTGTGGCCGACGGACGTGGTACACCAAATAGACGAAGACAGTCCGTTTTGGAAATTGTCAGCTAGTGATATAATGAGCGGAAAGTAATATTGATACTGTGTCACAATTTTACATAATTATGAAATTGTAGGTTTGAAATACTCGTAACGTTGTCTGGCACGTCGTTCGTGACTGATCAGTTTTCGACTAGTCAGACGTCGTATTTGAACGAAGAAATTCTATGGGGGTTTAGGTTTAAGTCGTGTATGGAATATGACGAGAAGGTACAGCGTTACGTAGTAAATGAGCAAGACATTTTTAAACTCATGCCTTGTGATACCCCGTTGTGTAGCGCCAGCACGCTAAAGAAAATTCAGACTGAGTTAAACCAACTCACCGACGATCCAGGCGAAAGAAATTGAAACAAACACCATTTTAAATCGTCTTTATTTACAACATAATACTAAATGACTTACTTTACCTCCTAGTAAAATAAATACTTTATACAGCGTAATCTCCTAATCCTCACGTCATGACCGTTGTAACATTTATACTGTAATTTGAAAATGGACTACTTTAACAACTACAGGCTTACTCAATTGATATAACTCCAATTTGATTATTATAAAACATTTTGCTAACGATAACAAGAAGAACTAGCGTCGAAGCCATGCAATTTCCAATAACCAGTCACAAAAGAGAGGTTATGTACATAGTATTTACAAACACATTGATTAACTAACAGCACCAAACTTCATTAGAAAAATAACAATTTGTGCTCGCTGATTAGCACCACGTGATTGAGACTCAACGAAAAAGAAAATAAAAAAAGATATAAAATATCACACGAAATAAATAATGAGACAACTTTACATGACTGTATTATATGGAGAATGTTCGTGTAGTAGCTGCTTTCCTTTAAATTCGGATGTGCCCTAAGTATTGGTCAAAAGAAGAGATAAAATACTGCTACAATATTAGGCACCCATCAAGTTAAAACAAGCCTCCTTTTCGTCCGAATAATAACGAGCTGAGAGTACCTAACGTGGAAGTCTGTTCGGGCTCTGGTAGTTTTTTCGTGGCTACGGTACCTAAATCCGACCGCGTCACCCCCTGCCGACGCTGTTTCCTAGAATTGAGTTGCTCTAATCGCCTACTTAGTGCGCCGCTACCGGGCTTGCCCGGTACTCCAAGACCAGAAGGAGGTTTTCCTGAAACCACGACAATTACGCTGTGCCAAGGCGACTCAAGTACTCACTATGTGAGGGAAGAAGGCTTTTGCTACTTTGAGAAGCCGTTTCTGAGTGACTCGGCAACAAACAAGTGAGCTGAGCCATGGGACTAGTTAAGGCCGGACGGGTGTACAGACCGGCCGATATGGACAGAGCGCCGGGGGCTCCCATCAGATTCGTAATCCCGATCCGCTCGATCTTGCCAATGAGACTCTACAAACAAAAACGTGCCGATGACTTAAAAGATTACTTAAGTACTATCTTATCGTTTTGGCGCAAAAAAATAAATTCGTTGTAAACATTTTTATTTAACTATCAAACAAAATTACAAAATATGTTAGTATCACAACTGGTAATCCATCCCCACCGCAGTACTAATTTTGATGGTTAGAGCGTTAGTGTCATGTGCATGCAACTGGAAATCAGTCTAACTCAATGCCAAATAAAACATCCAAGAAAAAAAAGCCGACAATGTCGCCTTTATTTACCTCCGCTCTTTCAGGTTTGCTGCGTTTGCCTTTAATCATCTTCTTTTTGGCACCGCCTCCCACAACCGTATCTTTGATAAACTGAGGGACTGAGCTTAGGATAAGTTGTGGGAAGCTGAGTGGCTCGGGGGATTGACAACGTGATTGTGATGGACTATCATCGGGGCTGTTACAGGGTGTCGCCGTCGGGGTGAAGCTGTTAGCCCCACACGGGGTGTTAAACGCTGACGGAGTAGCCGCTTTAATTCCTGAAACAACAAAAGTTAGTACTGTATACTTAGTACTCGTCAGTGGCGTAGCTAACTTCCACTGCGCCCCCATACACCAAATTTAAAAAGTAATATCAAATTAATATGAAATTACTGGTTTACCACAGATTTACAAATAATAATAATTTATACACATAATAATTTTTAAAAATTGTTAATTGATTATACTGGCTTCATTCGACGTTGTCGAGATTTTCCAATTTTCAATATTTAGATTTTACAATAATTTTCGTGTTTTCGACCGCAATTTTTCGATCTTTAAGTTTCTCAATTATTAATCTTTCGATTTTTGAATTTTCCGTTTCTTCGATTTCGCAAGTTTTTAGATTTCTCGAAGCCTTCATTTTATACTTTTGCGTTTTTTCATTTTGAGTTTTCAATTTTACAATTTTTCTATTTTATAACTTTTCCATTTTGTTTATCCGGAAAGTAGAAAATTCGAAAAATTGAAAAATCGATAAAATCGAATGGAATTTGTTTTTACGATTTTTTAAACTTTTTAATCTGTATTTCAATTTTTCGATTTTTGGAATTTTTTGTTTCTCATATCTAGGTTTATCGATTTTTTTGAGTTTTTCGATTTTTCCGTTTATCTTTTTTTTAAGTAAATATTTCAATTTTGAATTTTCCGATTTCGGCCTATTTCGATTTCACGATCTTTTGAAGTCTCAAGTTTTCGATTTCGATTTCTTGGTTTTTCGATTTTCAAAATTTTCGATTTTTCTAGTATATATTTTAAATTTTCGATTTTTAAAATTTTTCATTTTTCCCTTTTATAATCTTTATGTTTCGATTTCCCGATTTTAATTTTTTAATGTGTTTCAATTTTTCCATTTTTGGAATTTTCGATTTATTATATCTCAATTTTCCAATTTTAAAAATTTTTCGATTTCTCGATTTTTAAGTTTTCGCTATCTCAATTTTAAACATCGCAATTTTGGGAATTTTTCAATTTCTATATTTTTCAGATTTTCGATATTTTCATTTTCCCGTTTTTGTAATTTTCATTTTCTTGATTTTATATCACAATATTTCATTTTTCCATTATCTTTATTTTTTCAATGTTTCTTTGGATTTTATAATTTTTTGTTTATTCAATTTTTTACATTTTCAATTTTTGATTTTTCAAGTTCTTGATTTCCAATTTTTTTATATTTCGAAGCTTTCATTTTGTACTTTTTCAGTTTTACAATTTTTCTATTTTATAATTTTTCGATTTTGTTTATTCGAAAAGTTAAAAACTCGAAAAAATGAAAAATTGAAACAATGAAAAACTAAAAACCGAGAAACTTAAAAATCCAAAAAAAACTAATGAATCGAATAATGGGAAAGAAGAAAAACCATTCGAATTGAAAAATTGGAAAATCCAAAAATTGTAAAATCGAAAAATTATAGAATCTTGAAAATTGTAAAGTCCAAAAACTGTGACATTCAAACACCGAAAAATTGAAAAATTCCAAAAACGAAAAACCTAAAAAGTGAACAACTTTAAAAATTATAATTATTATCTTTTTTTTTAAGTAAATATTTCACTTTTGAATTTTCCGATTTCGGCCTATTTCGATTTCTCGATCTTTTGAAGTTTCAAGTTTTCGATTTCGATTTCTTGCTTTTTCGATTTTCAAAATTTTCGATTTTTAAAATTTTTCATTTTTCCCTTTTATAATACTTATGGTTCGATTTCCCGATTTTAATTTTTTAATGTGTTTCAAGTTTTCCATTTTTGGAATTTTCGATTTCTCGTATCTCAATTTTCCAATTTTAAAAATTTTTCGATTTCTCGGTTTTTAAGTTTTCGCTATCTCAATTTTAAACATCGCAATTTTGGGAATTTTTCAATTTCTACATTTTTCAGATTTTCGATATTTTCATTTTCCCGTTTTTGTAATTTTCATTTTCTTGATTTTATATCACAATTTTTCATTTTTCCATTATCTTTATTTTTTCAATGTTTCTTTGGATTTTATAATTTTTTGTTTATTCAATTTTTTACATTTTCAATTTTTGATTTTTCAAGTTCTTGATTTCCAATTTTTTTATATTTCGAAGCTTTCATTTTGTACTTTTTCAGTTTTACAATTTTTCTATTTTATAATTTTTCGATTTTGTTTATTCGAAAAGTAGAAAATTCGAAAAATTGAAAAATCGGAAATTAAAAAATTGGAAAAAATTGAAGAAACAAAAATTGCAAAATCGATAAAATCGAATGGAATTTGTTTTTACGATTTTTTAAACTTTTTAATCTGTATTTCAATTTTTCGATTTTTGGAATTTTCTGTTTCTCATATCTAGGTTTATCGATTTTTTTTGAGTTTTTCGATTTTTCCGTTTATCTTTTTTTTAAGTAAATATTTCAATTTTGAATTTTCCGATTTCGGCCTATTTCGATTTCTCGATCTTTTGAAGTCTCAAGTTTTCGATTTCGATTTCTTGGTTTTTCGATTTTCAAAATTTTCGATTTTTTTAGTATATATTTTAAATTTTCAATTTTTAAAATTTTTCATTTTTCCCTTTTATAATCTTTATGTTTCGATTTCCCGATTTTAATTTTTTAATGTGTTTCAAGTTTTCCATTTTTGGAATTTTCGATTTCTCATATCTCAATTTTCCAATTTTAAAAATTTTTCCATTTCTGGATTTTTAAGTTTTCGCTATCTCAATTTTAAACATCGCAATTTTGGGAATTTTTCAATTTCTATATTTTTCAGATTTTCCATATTTTCATTTTCCCGATTTTGTAATTTTCCTTTCCTTGATTTTATATCACAATTTTTCATTTTTCCATTATCTTTATTTTTTCAATGTTTCTTTGGATTTTATAATTTTTTGTTTATTCAATTTTTTACATTTTCAATCTTTGATTTTTCAAGTTCTTGATTTCCAATTTTTTTATATTTCGAAGCTTTCATTTTGTACTTTTTCAGTTTTACAATTTTTCTATTTTAAAATTTTTGTTTTTTCGGAAAGTTAAAAATTCGAAAAAATGAAAAATTGAAACAATGAAAAACTAAAAACCGAGAAACTTAAAAATCTAAAAAAAAATTAATGAATCGAAGAATGGGAAAGAAGAAAAACTATTCGAATTGAACAATTGGAAAATCCAAAAATTGTAAAATCGAAAAATTATAGAATCTTGAAAATTGTAAAGTCCAAAAACTGTGACATTCAAACACCGAAAAATTGAAAAATTCCAAAAACGAAAAACCGAAAAAGTGAACAACTTTAAAAATTATAATTATTAGGAGTACATAATTAAAATGAAAACTAGAAAAATTGCAAATGAAAAATTAAAAAAACGGAAAATTGAAAGCAGAAAATTGAAAAAATAAAGAAAATTAAAAACCCACAGGAAAAATTGCAAATCGAAAAATTGACGAAATTAAAAATTTTAAACTCGTGAAATTTGCAAACTCTAAAATTTGAAACATCTAAAAGTTGGAAAATCAAAAACTGAAAAATCGAAAAACCGAGGAATTCAAACTGAAAAAAGATCGAAAATTCAAGATGTCGAAATATCTAAAATTTAAAAAATAGAAAAATTACAATAACGAAAAATTTAACATTTAAAAAAACCACAAAATCAAAGTCGAAAAATCGAGAAATTGAGAAATGGAAAAATGAAAATTTAGAAAAACCAAAAATTGAAAAGCATAAAAAAAATTAAAATCGGGAATTCGGAACGTAAAAAAAAATAAAATCGAAAAATTGAAAAATTTTAAATTTAAAAATTCGAAAACTTGAAAAACCGAAAAACTGAAGAAATGAAAAACCAAAAAATCGACAAATTGAAAAACTTCAAAACTGAAAAGTCGAAAAATTGAAAAACCCAAAAATCGATTTCCGGTAAGTCGAAAAATCAAAATTAAACACATTTTAAAATCGAAAAAACGAAAAATCGAGATGTAAGAAATCGAAAATTCCAAAATCGAAAAATTGGAATATACGTTAAAAAGGTTAAAATCGGGAGATGGAAGCATAACAAAACATAAAATCGAAAAATGGAGAATTTTAAAAATCTAAAAAAATTGAAGAAATAAAAAATTGAAAAATGGAAATGCCGAGAAATCGAAATTAAAAAATTGAGACATCAAAAGATCCGAGAAATGGAGAAATCGAAAAACCGGAAAATTTTAAACTGAAATACATATTTAAACTTAAAAAAAAACCGATAAATCAAAATATTCAAAATTCGAAAAATCAGAAATTTTAAAAATCGAAAGATCGAGAAATCGATATATCAAAAAAGTGAAAAATTTTAAATTAAAAAATTGGAGATATTGAAAAATCCCAAAATTGGAACAACGAAAACTTGAGAAATCGAAAAACTGAAAAATCGATAAATTGGAAAGAGGAAAAATCGAAAAATCAAAGAATTGATTAATAGAGAAATTGAGAAATATAAAAATGATTTTTTTTTAAATTGCAAAAATTGTAATTCAATTTTGTTTTATTTTTCCACAAAAATTTCGATGTCGAAGATAAAAATTCAACACGGATTCATAGACCATAAAGACACTGTTACTTTTTTTTTAATTTATATAACATTTATTTGACAAAATTGTAGAACTGAAGAAACGAAAAATAGAAACATTGAAAAACTAGAAATCGAGAAAAAATTAATGAATCAAAGAACGAAAAATTAAAAAATTCCAAAAACGAAAAATTGAAAAAGTGAACAACTCTAATAAAAATTATAATTATTATTACATATCTAAAATGAAAATTAGAAAACCTGCAAATCAAAAATTGAAGAAACGAAAAATTGAAAACAAAAAAAATTGAAAAATCCAAAAATGAAAAATTTCAAATTGAGAAAAAGAAAAAATATAAAAACTCGTTCCTCGCGCGTTAAAATATCTCGATTATTAATGACCTTTATTAACAAACTCGTTCGTTAAATAGTTATTAATTTACCTGATCTCATTTTCAATTCCAATGAAAACCCCTTCTTTAAAAATTGCACAAAATATATCGGTTACGTTACGGTCTGCGCCCCTTTTTTATTTACGCCACTGGTACTCGTTGAATCTTACCTCGTTCGTTAAGTATCTTCGCCAGTCCGTACGTCGTGGAAAAAGTACTACACGAATTCCGCCGACTCAACTGACCAGGCGTCTGCGGAGGTGAGTTCTGGATACTAGAACACACCGACGCCACTCGACTCCCACGGGTACTAGGACTAACGAAAGTACCATCGTCGGGGTGCATCACAGTACTATTCGTCAGAGTATACGTGGGTGCCAACGAATCGAACACTTTCCCGGGATTGGTGTACTCTTCGTCTTCCTCTAAGTCGCTTAGGCCGTACGACTCCAACCCCATCTCTTCCAACTCTTTGCCGCCGCGGATTTTCACTCCGGGTCGTTCCTCGAGCAAACCCCCGAACGTAGGCTGCGCCAATTGCGACCAATGATGAAGGGTCTGCGACCCCTCCAACGGTTTCACAATCTGGAGTTTCTCTGGTAACTTCCAACCCATGTAGTTACCGGAACCCGTGGACATGAGACTATCAGGGGTACGACACCCGAATGGGAGATACGAATCGCCTTCGTACCCCCCATACGTAGGACCGTGTTGAAGATTAGCCCGTCGGGCTAACACTTCTCCAGGTGTTAGTCGTTTCAAGGCGGCTTCCAAATCGGCGGCTCCTGGTACTCCGGGGATTCCTTTCTGTGGGGCGCCCCTAGAAAAAACCGTCACGACTGACCTCCACTTCGTTTTGAAGCGCACTTACGGATAACCTTCATCGGAGTCGGTTTGACTGAACTCGGTATCGGATTGACCCGTCGAGTCTATACTGGGGTACCCCAGACTGCTGCTACTGTAAATCGAGCCTGATGACCGCCGCACGTCGGAAGTCTGCGCTCGGATGCTCATCCTCGGCCCCGCCCCCGCCATACTCGTGCTACTCACGTACCCCCCGATTCCCGAGTGTAAACTACCCAAGCTGTCCGCACTACTCAGGGAGTTCTGAGAGGCACATCGAACCGTCTCGAACACCTTCTTGTACTGAGGCACGATATCCGGGTTGGAGATTCCTGAGTCCGTACTGAGCTCCGAGTGCATGGACATTTCAAGCTCGCTTTGTAGACTATCGAAGGGCTGGGAGGTCGTGCCTAGGGACGAAAACATGGCGATTCTAGCCCCCGGGGTCTGTTTCTTTCGGAGTTTGCGCAGCTGCTCCTGAGTATCACGCAACAAACTTTCCACTTCGTAGTACCTCGCTTTGAACTCCGACAACTCTATCGCCAGACTTCCTTGGTTGTCTTTCGTGATTTGAAGCAGACTACTCAGTTCGTAGTTCTCGGCTGTGAATTTCGTCACTTTTTCTTCCATGTCTTGGATTCTAGCTTGAAGGGTGAGGATTTGCTCGTGCTGTATCCGGTTCTCTTCCTTCTGGCGGTCGATTTCGTCCTCCAAGTACCCCATGCTGGAGTTGGCACAACCTATTCAACCGTGTTAGACACAAGTCTAACTTAAGTCGTGACAACTTACTTAACTGTCCTGTTAGATCCTTCAGCAACATTTGCTCTTTGGCCTCCACCGTCTCCGTGTCTTTGGCCAATCGGTTGTATTCGCACTTCAGCGCCTTGTTTTCTTCTTCCAGGCCAGCTAAGACGGAAAACATTACAAACATTTCCGGATTGATTTTAAACACGTAAGCGTCTAATATAAACACGGTTACTTGCCAAAGATATTAAGTGAATGTGTATTTTAAAAAATGGGACGTGGAGTCCTTACCCATTCTTTTTTGCATCAGTTCTAAATTAATCCGGCCGCTGGAGCCGTTCTCGAACACCGACTCGTCCATGTCGTTCGTAAGTATCTGGATGAGTTCGGTTTTCTTCTGAACTTCATGGCTGAGCTGTGTGATTTTTTCAAGGGCTGATTTAAGATCGGTTTCTAGGGAGGCTATAGTGTTTTCGAGCTTACTGTTAGACTGGAGGAGTTCTTTGCCGATTCGCGCCGTCAGTTCCAAATCCTTTTCTTTCTAGATTTTGTTACAAATAAACAAGTTCAATATCTGTTTACGACTAGCCTGAATTTTCGAATGAAAATACAAACAAGAGATAAGGTAAATTTTTCGAGACGAGTGTTTACACGCGATATAGACGTTTTTGAAACGTCTTTTTTTAGTAGTTAAACAATATTTGGCGTTACCGTAACCAGACGGGTTCTTGTTTAACCAACTAAATCAACATGACTAAATAAATTCCAGTACGTACCTCTTCCAGAAGCCTAGTGACCGCTTCTATGTCATCGTAGGTCTTGGTCATTTGGCTCACCCGGTTACTACATAGAACTAGAAGAAAAATTCACACTCTGATAAACGACGGCGACCAAATAACACAAATTTCGCTAATATGTTACATTAAAACATGAGATAAGGAACACAAAAGACAGATACGTTATCAGACGTCGAAGTTATGTCTCATGTACCGATATGCATCGCATTGTTTGTCCTTCAGTCGTTAATACCTGGATTTAAAGTTCATACAATGTCGGTATCTAAAACCTCAAGATTATCCGAATCTGTCGTAATTGGTAAACACAGCCAGCAAACATGAACACATTAACACGACATGTGTTGAATTTATTCGCGTATTTACTTACATAACACATGTTTTGTTGGGTTAAAATAAAACCGGCCACAAGGAATATGTAAACGGGTACATTTTTAGGCGCCGCCTCCACTGTTGCCTAGTTTTTGGCGTTAAAACGCCACAAACGTTCATTGATTGATTATTAATTTTCAAGTATTATCCATTCACGATCTTTATATAGTAAAGTAGGCTTTGATATTTTTTCTTTAAGTTGGATAAACTGATTTGGTGATTTAGTTTTTTGTCTGTCAGTAGTCTGATTGACATTTGCTTTGGGCTGGATTGCCACTTTTCTACTTCATTTATTAGATCAGAATTATCAGACGCAATTTTTTAATCAAGCAAACAAATGTTTTAATTTTATCAGCATAGATAATTTGTTATTGTGACAGATTCATATTTTTAATTTTTTTTTCTCATAGGTGGGAACATCAACTGTGGCGAAAATTTTATCAACAGGGGACCAAAATCTAAAACATCACTATCTGGCAAGCGAAAACCAACGGATTTATTTACAAATTATATGTTTCGGAAAGACCTGCAACAAATTTGGCAACTTAATGAAAAAAACGAATATTTCACTGTAGATACTCTTTTGGCATATTCTAGGGAACAGCTGGAATTTAAAGGGGGCGAACCACATTATACAACATTCTTAAGTCAATGGGTTATAAACACAGGGAAGTAAATGGCCGCAAAATTCTATGTGAACAAAAACATGTCGTTGCAGCCAAAATTACTTTTTTGAGAACATATCTACAGTGATTGATTTCGTTATACAAATTTTCCATTTTAAACATGTTTTAAGTTTCTTGTCGTGAAAAGAAGTCTACACATTTTAAAACAAAAGGCCAAAATGTAAACCCGCCCACCCGCCCCCTCTCAATTGTAATGATTTTTTTTATTCGCCGAGAACCAAGAGGGCGGACCTTAACTCCAAAATACTCATTTCTTTACAAGACAATAAAAACATGTTTTTAAATATCGTGTTACGGCAAAATAAAAACCGGCCCACCCATCCCATCTCAATTGTGATGATCTTTTTATTCTTACAAATTTAAAACACGTTCAAAATGGTAAATCTTTGTAGGGAAGTATGGATTTTTCAATTAGGCTCCGCCCCTAGTCTGCCAACGAATTAAAACTTCATTACTATTTAGATCAAGGCAAGTATGGGTGGGTTTTAATTTTTTCTTAATATACATGGTATTTTTTTTAGCAACACGATACTCAAATACATTTTTTAATTTCTCGTAGAGAAATAAGGATTTTGCAGTTAAGCTCCGCCCCTTTGGCAGGTGACGAATAAAAAAAATTATCAGAATTGAGATAGGGCGGGTGGGCGGGGTTAATATTTTGTTTTTTTTTCCAAATTTACGCAGCTATCTTTTCACAAGAAACTTAAAATAATGTTAAAATGGTACATTTTTACAAGGAAATATGGATTTTGCAATAATGGATGGAACCTAATTGCAAAATCGATATTTCCTTATACAAGTTTTCCATTTTAACCATGTTTTAAGTGTCTTCTTATGAAAAAAACACATTAAAGAAAAAAATACAAAATGTAAGCCCGCCCACCCGCCCTATCTCAATTGTGATGATTTTTTTTATTCGTCGTGAATCAAGAGGGCGGAGCTTAACTGCAAAATACTCGTTTATTTACAACAAATTAAAAGCATGTTTTTGAGTATTGTGTTGTTCAAAGAATACTACGTATATTAAGAAAAAAACAGACAAAATATATACCCCCCCCCCACACCCACCCCATCTCAATTGTGGTGTTTTTTCTTATTCTTAGAAATTTAAAACACGTTCAAAATGGTAAATTTTTGTAGGGAAGTATGGGTTTTTCAATTAGGCTCCGCCCCTAGTCTGCCAACGAATGAAAACTTCATTACAATTCAGATCAAGGCAAGTATGGGTGGGTTTTAATTTTTTCTTAATATACATGGTATTTTTTAGCAACACGATACTCAAACACATTTTTTAATTTCTCGTAGAGAAATAAGGATTTTGCAGTTAAGCTCCGCCCCTTTGGCAGGTGACGAATAAAAAAAATTATCAGAATTGAGATAGGGCGGGTGGGCGGGGTTAATATTTTGGTTTTTTTTTTCCAAATTTACGCAGCTATCTTTTCACAAGAAACTTAAAATAATGTTAAAATGGTACATTTTTACAAGGAAATATGGATTTTGCAATAATGGATGGAACCTAACTGCAAAATCGATATTTCCTTATACAAGTTTTCCATTTTAACCATGTTTTAAGTGTCTTCTTATGAAAAAAACACATTAAAGAAAAAAATACTAAATGTAAGCCCGCCCACCCGCCCTATCTCAATTGTGATGATTTTTTTTATTCGTCGTGAATCAAGAGGGCGGAGCTTAACTGCAAAATACTCGTTTATTTACAACAAATTAAAAGCATGTTTTTGAGTATTGTGTTGTTCAAAGAATACTACGTATATTAAGAAAAAAACAGACAAAATATATACCCCGCCCACCCACCCCATCTCAATTGTGATGATTTTTCTTATCCTTAGAAATTTAAAACACGTTGAAAATGGTAAATTTTTGTAGGGAAGTATGGATTTTTCAATTAGGCTCCGCCCCTAGTCTGTCAACGAATGAAAACTTCATTACTATTTAGATCAAGGCAAGTATGGGTGGGTTTTGATTTTTTCTTAATATACATGGTATTTTTTTAAGCAACACGATACTCAAACACATTTTTTAATTTCTCGGAGAGAAATAAGGATTTTGCAGTTAAGCTCCGCCCCTTTGGCAGATCACGAATAAAAAAAAATCATCAGAATTGAGATAGGGTGGGTGGGCGGGGTTAAATATTTTGCTTTTTTTTTCTAAATTTACGCAGCTATCTTTTCACAAGAAACTTAAAATAATGTTAAAATGGTACATTTTTACAGGGAAATGTGAATTTTGCAATTATGGATGGAACCCAATTGCAAAATCGATATTTCCTTATACAAGTTTTCCATTTTAATCATGTTTTAAGTGTCTTCTTATGAAAAGAAGTCTACACATTAAAGAAAAAAAAGCAAAATGTAAGTCCGCCCACCCGCCCTATCACAATTGTGATGATTTTTTTTATTCGTCGTGAATCAAGCTTAATTGTAAAATACTCGTTTCTCTACAACAAATTAAAAACATGTTTTTCAGTATTGTGTTGTTCAAAGAATACTACGTATATTAAGAAAAAAACAGACAAAATATATACCCCGCCCACCCATCCCATCTCAATTGTGATGATCTTTTTATTCTTACAAATTTAAAACACGTTCAAAATGGTAAATCTTTGTAGGGAAGTATGGATTTTTCAATTAGGCTCCGCCCCTAGTCTGCCAACGAATTAAAACTTCATTACTATTTAGATCAAGGCAAGTATGGGTGGGTTTTAATTTTTTCTTAATATACATGGTATTTTTTTAGCAACACGATACTCAAACACATTTTTTAATTTCTCGTAGAGAAATAAGGATTTTGCAGTTAAGCTCCGCCCCTTTGGCAGATGACGAATAAAAAAATCATCAGAATTGAGATAGGGCGGGTGGGCGGGGTTAATATTTTTCTTTTTTTTTTCTAAATTTACGTAGCTATCTTTTCACAAGAAACTTAAAATAATGTTAAAATGGTACATTTTTACAAGGAAATATGGATTTTGCAATTATGGATGGAACCTAATTGCAAAATCGATATTTCCTTATACAAGTTTTCCATTTTAACCATGTTTTAAGTGTCTTCTTATGAAAAAAACACATTAAAGAAAAAAATACAAAATGTAAGCCCGCCCACCCGCCCTATCTCAATTGTGATGATTTTTTTTATTCGTCGTGAATCAAGAGGGCGGAGCTTAACTGCAAAATACTCGTTTATTTACAACAAATTAAAAGCATGTTTTTGAGTATTGTGTTGTTCAAAGAATACTACGTATATTAAGAAAAAAACAGACAAAATATATACCCCCCCCCCCCCACACCCACCCCATCTCAATTGTGGTGTTTTTTCTTATTCTTAGAAATTTAAAACACGTTCAAAATGGTAAATTTTTGTAGGGAAGTATGGGTTTTTCAATTAGGCTCCGCCCCTAGTCTGCCAACGAATGAAAACTTCATTACAATTCAGATCAAGGCAAGTATGGGTGGGTTTTAATTTTTTCTTAATATACATGGTATTTTTTAGCAACACGATACTCAAACACATTTTTTAATTTCTCGTAGAGAAATAAGGATTTTGCAGTTAAGCTCCGCCCCTTTGGCAGGTGACGAATAAAAAAAATTATCAGAATTGAGATAGGGCGGGTGGGCGGGGTTAATATTTTGGTTTTTTTTTTCCAAATTTACGCAGCTATCTTTTCACAAGAAACTTAAAATAATGTTAAAATGGTACATTTTTACAAGGAAATATGGATTTTGCAATAATGGATGGAACCTAACTGCAAAATCGATATTTCCTTATACAAGTTTTCCATTTTAACCATGTTTTAAGTGTCTTCTTATGAAAAAAACACATTAAAGAAAAAAATACTAAATGTAAGCCCGCCCACCCGCCCTATCTCAATTGTGATGATTTTTTTTATTCGTCGTGAATCAAGAGGGCGGAGCTTAACTGCAAAATACTCGTTTATTTACAACAAATTAAAAGCATGTTTTTGAGTATTGTGTTGTTCAAAGAATACTACGTATATTAAGAAAAAAACAGACAAAATATATACCCCGCCCACCCACCCCATCTCAATTGTGATGATTTTTCTTATCCTTAGAAATTTAAAACACGTTGAAAATGGTAAATTTTTGTAGGGAAGTATGGATTTTTCAATTAGGCTCCGCCCCTAGTCTGTCAACGAATGAAAACTTCATTACTATTTAGATCAAGGCAAGTATGGGTGGGTTTTGATTTTTTCTTAATATACATGGTATTTTTTTAAGCAACACGATACTCAAACACATTTTTTAATTTCTCGGAGAGAAATAAGGATTTTGCAGTTAAGCTCCGCCCCTTTGGCAGATCACGAATAAAAAAAAATCATCAGAATTGAGATAGGGTGGGTGGGCGGGGTTAAATATTTTGCTTTTTTTTTCTAAATTTACGCAGCTATCTTTTCACAAGAAACTTAAAATAATGTTAAAATGGTACATTTTTACAGGGAAATGTGAATTTTGCAATTATGGATGGAACCCAATTGCAAAATCGATATTTCCTTATACAAGTTTTCCATTTTAATCATGTTTTAAGTGTCTTCTTATGAAAAGAAGTCTACACATTAAAGAAAAAAAAGCAAAATGTAAGTCCGCCCACCCGCCCTATCACAATTGTGATGATTTTTTTTATTCGTCGTGAATCAAGCTTAATTGTAAAATACTCGTTTCTCTACAACAAATTAAAAACATGTTTTTCAGTATTGTGTTGTTCAAAGAATACTACGTATATTAAGAAAAAAACAGACAAAATATATACCCCGCCCACCCATCCCATCTCAATTGTGATGATCTTTTTATTCTTACAAATTTAAAACACGTTCAAAATGGTAAATCTTTGTAGGGAAGTATGGATTTTTCAATTAGGCTCCGCCCCTAGTCTGCCAACGAATTAAAACTTCATTACTATTTAGATCAAGGCAAGTATGGGTGGGTTTTAATTTTTTCTTAATATACATGGTATTTTTTTAGCAACACGATACTCAAACACATTTTTTAATTTCTCGTAGAGAAATAAGGATTTTGCAGTTAAGCTCCGCCCCTTTGGCAGATGACGAATAAAAAAATCATCAGAATTGAGATAGGGCGGGTGGGCGGGGTTAATATTTTTCTTTTTTTTTTCTAAATTTACGTAGCTATCTTTTCACAAGAAACTTAAAATAATGTTAAAATGGTACATTTTTACAAGGAAATATGGATTTTGCAATTATGGATGGAACCTAATTGCAAAATCGATATTTCCTTATACAAGTTTTCCATTTTAACCATGTTTTAAGTGTCTTCTTATGAAAAAAGTCTACATAATAAAGAAAAAAAAAGCAAAATGTAAGCCCGCCCACCCGCCCTGTCTCGATTGTGACGATTTTTTTTATTCGTCGTGAATCAAGCTTAACTGCAAAATACTCGTTTCTTTACAACAAATTAAAAACATGTTTTTCAGTATTGTGTTATTCAAAGAATACTAAGTATATTAAAAAAAAAAACAGACAAAATATATACCCCGCCCACCCACCCCGTCTCAATTATGATGATTTTTCTTATTCTCAGAAATTTAAAACACGTTCAAAATGGTAAATTTTTGTAGGAAAGTATGGATTTTTCAATTAGGCTCCGCCCCTAGTCTGCCAACGAATGAAAACTTTATTACTATTTAGATCAAGGCAAGTATGGGTGGGTTTTAATTTTTTCTTAATATACATGGTATTTTTTTTAGCAACACGATACTCAAACACATTTTTTAATTTCTCGTAGAGAAATATGGTTTTTGCAGTTAAGCTCCGCCCCTTTGGCAGATGACGAATAAAAAAAATCATCAGAATTGAGATAGGGCGGGTGGGCGGGGTTAATATATCGGCAATAAGGTTTATATTTCTGGCATATTTTTTAACCTTTAATTGAATAAAAAAAAAAGTTCAGGGAATTTATATTCTTCTGCATCGAATACCAACAAACTCACTATATTTTCATGGCCAACCCTACTATATAAAGATCGTGAACGGACAATACAATTTTAGGCACCGCCTCCACTTGTTACCTAGTTTTTGGCGTAAAACCGACACAAACATTCATTGATCGATATTGATTGTTTATTAATTTTCAAGTATGAGCGGCAGACCGTGTCAGACAACTGGATATAAGGTCGAGTAATTTAGTTTCCGTAAAATTGGTAAAGTGTGACTTAATCTTTTAACGAATTCGCGAGAAAAGTTGTAAATCATTCATGATCGACTGATTAGTTTCAGGAATCATCTACAATTCTACACGTGAATGAGCTATTATTTTCAGCCGGTGTTAACCATCAATTTTATCACAGATTAATAAGCTTCGAATTATTAATGACAACTACGTAATTGTATACGCACCAGCACTGGATTTAAAGCACCAAAGTCGCACGAAAATAGAATGACTTTGACGGTTTTATGACAGCTGATTTTTGTGACAACACAAAATAAAGCAATTTTACGACTCATTCTAAGAACACTTTGTTGAAAACACGTTTTGTTATGCAAATGCAACTCAAATTATATAACGCACATATACAACTTAAAATTTCCATTTGAAAAATCGGAATACTTACGAAAGTAATTGAGGGTTTCTCGGATTTGATCCGGAGACAATTTCAAATCGGCCTCGTCAATTTGTAATGCTGGAGACGGTATGAACCAATCCTGGTTTTCGTAACCTGCATAATAAAACGTTCACCTGTATTTGAAAAGCAAGATTAAGACGGATGTCGCGGAGAAATACCGACGCGACGCACCTGAACGTGCACGTATCACAAGACAACCACTACGCTAATAGATAAAGCCGGACCTTGAAAAATCTATCTGTTGACAATTTTACCATAACTGTGTTGGTTGGATGTTTCGCTAATCGCGCAAATAATTTTTTGTTCTGCACGCATGGGTGCCCGGTAGCCCTGCCAGATTACGTTTTATTGGCGGCGAAATCGCGCTGTCGTGGTTCACCGGATTAAGTTTTTTTTTGAAAAATTGTTTGTTCTACGTTAGATAAGAATCTTCCTTATGTTATTGGAGACGAAATGATTACAGGTTATCTGTGCCAAAACGAGGTTAAAGTGTGAAATTGTCTCAATCGTAGTGTTAGTCGGATACAAAATGACGTCACAATTAAACGGAACATTGTACTTGAGTCACTTACCTCCGAACTTCGTAAGGGTGTCCGCCCTTAGCTTGTACTTGGGAATTTGCTCCTCCAGAAGACTAATAATTTCCACTTCGGGAAGTGATTCTCCACTGCACAGCTCTAGAAAACAACAAACCAGTTGTCAATAGCGCGTTCAAAGAAAAGATCATGTGAAGCGGTACAAGGCAAGCATGAGAGAAGAAATGTAAATACTGGTGATAAGAGTACCGCTGAGGTGTCCATTCACACACATACAATGCATCAATAAGGACAGGTACGTGAATGATATCTGATTGATCAATTAACTGTTACTCAATAAAAAATGCAGAAAAGGAGAAAGAAAGTCGTTACGGTGTAGAAAGTAATCTTCTATGGTATTTACGAGGGAAAAACGTCAATACTCGACCGGTTAATCGCACTCGTGGTGAAAAATTGGATAAAAGTAACAACTTTTCCGACATGCTGACCGGTAATTAAAATTAATTAATGGGTAAGAGTGTCTGTGTTTGCTAAACTATCTAGTGACACATTTTTATATGAATTTATTGTTGGAGATAACCTCACCTTTAATATTTAAATATTACAATGCCAACTGCAAATGTCAATGTTTAGAAGAAATTTCACCAAGGAAATAGCCACTCTAACTGGATCAAACTTATTTGATTTTGTTTTTAATTATATTTGTTTTGATTAGACTAGGGTTTGTGGTTCCGGTTTACATTAATTTACTTCCCGGCACCTCCACCAATTTTCACTAAAATTCGACCATATTTTTACGAACATGTTAATTTTTCATTTTATTTTAGACCTACAAGTTTTAACGAGGACAATGTGACACTACGATTGCTCCATGAAAACTTCTGGAGTTTAAAATGAAGAATAAATTTGATCAAGGTTAGTACACAATTTTTTTTGTTTTATAATAACAACTACGTCAGCAGTGTTCCTGTGTCAATACAATTTGTTTGCAAAAACGATTATTACACACAGGAATAATGCAAAAATAACATATTAAATACTTATAAATGGCCGATTGTTAAACATCACAAGACTAGTTTAAACAAGATTTTCACGTCGCTGTAAATAATTTTAATTAAGGTGACCCGCAATATAAAAGTCCTTGACAATGAAGAAGTTACATTTAAAATTTCTGAATTTCATTTTCTTTGAATTTTAAAAGCGATGACACGTTTTTCGAACCAAAAATAAAATAAACGAGCTAATATGTTATCTAAAGAAATTAGTTTAATCTAAAGTCGCCAGTTTTTCTTTATTAAACACACACAGTTTCATGCAAATGTCTAACAAATAAGTTTGTGTGCAACGACGTTGTAAAGATTGTTGTGACGAAATTTTCACTAGAACCGTTCTAAATATTATCATTACACATTTGTGGTCAATTAATAAAATTAGTTCCAACCTCATATTTTAAGGACACATCAACATTTATACAGAGTTACTTTTTACAGTTAAGTTAATTTAGGTTACAAATTGTTAAAGCAATAAATTCGATGAAAAACCTTAAATTCCGTAATATTTCCACATGAACCAATTATACATATTTTGTCTGAGTATATTTAAAACGAGAAGTGATTTTACCGTTTTGCACCCACTTGAGCATGTACACGTATTCAAATTTTACTTTACACACTTTTTTATAAATCAAATTCAACAAACAATACAGGAAACTGTCGGATGAGATACAAAATTCACATAATCCTAAAATCGCCCACGTCAGTAAATTGAATGAAACGCTGATAGTCATAAATAAGAATTATCTATGAGTTTTAATTAAAAAAAAAAATCCTGCAACATAAATTACAGTGTTAACAATTTTTTTTAGTTTTGTCTGCATTTTTTCCGTTATTCTGTAGTGAGAGCAATAAATGAACGGCCATTTCTTCAGAAATATTAGAAGCTTCTTTTGCAAAAAAACTGACATTTTTAAAAATTCGCCTAAAAATCCTCAAAAAAATCTAAGAACTGGATCTTGACGAACTGATTCGAAAAACAAAATGCTAATGATCCCCGACCAAGATTTCCGTCAAATTAAGTTTAAATGTCACATTTTTTAAATATTTCGGAAACGGTCAAAAAATTCATATTGAATAATTGGCATTTTTGCCAAGTTGCCAAAAAATCCTCACGTGAAAAAAAAACCTTTTTTCCGGATGTAGATCTTGACGAACTGATTCGAAAAAGATAAAATCTCCAAACAAGATTTTCGAAAAGTTTGGTTTGAAAATGGGATGGAAAAAAGGTATTGAAAAATTGACATTTTTAAAAAATGGCCTAAAAATCCCCAAAAAAAACTGGAATCTAAATCTTGACGAATTGATTCGAAATACAAGGTGTTGATAGTCTCCGACTAAGATTTTCGAAAAATTCGGTTCGAAAATGAATTTTTTAAATATCTCGAAAGCTCGAAAACCGCTAAAAAAATTGATATGTTGAAAAAATGCAATGTTTGTTGGCCAAAAATCTTCAAAAAAATCTGGTATGTAGATCTTGACGAACTGATTCGCAAAGATAAAGTCTTGATGGTCCTCCAACAAGATGTAAAAAAAAATCGGTTTGAAAATGAAAATTTTAAATTTCTCGAAAGCTCGAAAAAACGTCAAAAAATTCTGGGAAATAGCTCGCGACAAGTTGATTCGAAAAAGACAACGTGTCAATGTTGTTCTGGACCAAGATTTTTGAAAAATTCGGTTTAATTATCGAATTTTGTAAATATCTCGAAAGATCGAAAAAAAGTATTGAAAGATGTTTCTAAAATTCGCCTAAAAATCCTCAAAAAAATCTCGGACGTAGATCTTGACGAATTGATTCGAAATACAAAGTCTCGGACTAAGATTTTCGAAAAATTCAATTTGAAAATGAATTTTTTTAAATATTTCGAAAGCTCGAAAAAATGTCAAAAATTTTATGCCGGGTATTTTGGAAAATCGAAATTTTTGAAAGTTGTCTAAAAAACACAACGTGTCAATGGTTCCGGGCCAAGATTTTTGAAAAATTCAGTTTAATTATCGTATTTTTTAAATATCTCGAAAACTCGAAAAAAAGTATTGAAAAATAGACATTTTTTAAAATTCGCCTAAAAATCCAAAAAAATCTAGGATGTCGATCTTGACAAATTCACTAGAAATACAAAGTGTTAATAGTCCCCGACTAAGGTTTTCGAATAATTCGGTTTGGAAATGAATTTTTCTAAATATTTGGAAAACTCGAAAAAGATTTCAAAAATTTTATTTCATTGAAAATTGAAATTTTCGAAAAGTTCCCCCCCAAAAAAAGCTCTGGGATGTAGATCTACACAAGCTGATTCGAAAAGATAAAGTTTCAAAGGCTTCGAACAAGATTTTCGAAAAATTCGGTTTGGAAATGGGACTTTTTAATTAAATATCTCGAAAGCTCGAAAAACGGTCAAAAAATTCTGGGAAATATATAGCTCCCGACGAGCTGATTCGAAAAAGCTAAAATCTTAATGATCCCCTGACTAAATTTTCGAAAAATTCGGTTTTAACAGAAATTTTCTTAAATATATCGAAAGCTTGAAAAAAATTCATGGGGGATTTTTGAAAAATTGCCTAAAAATTCTCAAGTGAAAAAACTTTTTTGACGAGTTGATTCGAAAAAGATAAAGTCTCAATGGCTTCGAAAAAGATTTTCGAAAAATTCGGTTTGAAAATGGAATTTTTGAATATGTCGAAAGTTCGAAAAACGGACTTCGACATATGGTCTCAATGGCCCAGGAACTGATTTTCGAAAAATTTTGTTTGAAAATGAAGTTTTTTAAAAATATATCTTGAAATCTCAAAAAACGATAAAAAGTTTATATATTGAAAAATTGAAATGTTTGTTGCCCAATAATCTTCAAACAAATCGATTCGAAAAAATAAAGTCTCAACGGTCTTCGAACAAGACGTGAGAAAAATTTTAAAAGAAAAACTTTAAAAATGAAACTGTTAAATATCTGGAAGCTCGAAAAACGGTCAAAAAATTCTGGGAAAGCTCTTAACGAGCTGATGCGAAAAACCGAAAGTCTTAATGGTCCTTGGATTATTTTCGGATGTAGATCTCGACGAGTTGACTCGAAAAAGATAACGTCTCGATGGCTCCGAACAAGATTTTCGAAAAATTCGGTTTCAAATTTTTTTTTTAATATTTCGAAAGCTCGGAAAAAGGTAAAAAAATTCTGGGAAATAGCTCTCGACGAGCTGATTCGAAAAACATGAAGTCTAAATGGTCCTCGGACTAAATTTTCGAAAAATTCGGTTTCAAAACAAATATATTCTTAAATATCTCGAAAGCTCAAAAAAAATTCATGGGGGGCGCAACGAAAAATTGGGATTTTTGAAAAATTGCCTAAAAATTCTCAAGTGAAAAAGAACGAGCTGATTCGAAAAAGACAAAGTCTCAATGGATGGCTTCAACAAGATTTTTGAAAAACTTGGTTTGAAAATGGGATTTTTAAATATCTTGGAAGCTCGAAAAATGGTCAAAAAATTCTGGAAAATAGAGCTCGACGGGCTAATTCGAAACACAATGGATCACGAATTAAATTTTCCAAGAATTCTGTTTGAAAATATTTTTTTTTAATACATACTTGAAATCTCAAGAAACGGTAAAAATTCATATATTAAAAAAGTGAAATATTTATTGCCCAGAAATGTTCAAAAAAATCTGGAATGAAGATCTTAATGATCTGATTCGAAAAACATAAAGTCTTCATGGTCCCCGGACTAAATTTTTGAAAAATTCGGTTTCAAAATAAATTTTCTTAAATATCTCGAAAAATTGAGATTTTTCAAAAATTACCTAAAAATCCTGGAGTGAATAAAAAAACTTTTTTTCGGATGTAGATCGCGACGAGTTGATTCGAAAAAGCTCTCAATGGCTTCGAACATGATTTTCGAAAAATTCGATTTGAAAATGGGATTTTTAAATACCTCGAAAGCTCGAAAAATTGTAAAAAAAATCTGGGAAATAGATCTCGACGGGCTGATTCGAAAAATATGAAGTCTTAATCGTCCTCAGGCGAAATTTTCGAAAAATTCGGTTTCAAAACAAATTTTCTTAAATATCTCGAAGGCTCGAAAAAAAATTCATGCGGGGTGCATAGAAAAATTGGGATTTTTGAAAAATTGCCTAAAAATTCTCAAGTGACAAAAAACGAGTTGATTCGAAAAAGATAAAGTCTCAATGGATGGCTTCAACAAGATTTTTCAGAAATTTGGTTTGAAAATGGGATGTTTAAATATCTCGAAAGCTCGAAAAACGGTCAAAAAATTCTGGAAAAGAGATCTCTCGATTCAAAAAACAACGGATTTGGACACGTGGTCTTAATGGAAAATTGAAATATTTATTGCCCAAAAATCTTCAAAAAAATCTGGGATGTAGACCTTGACGAGCTGATTCGAAAAACATAAAGTCTTCATGGTCCTCGGACTAAATTTTCGAAAAAATTCAATTTGAAAATGAAATTTCTTAAATTTCTCAAAAGCTCGAAAAAGTAACTTTGAAAAACTGTGATTTTTGAATAGTTTCCTAAAAAACAAGCGAGAAAAACCTTTTTTTTACGGAAAATATTTTGTCCGTGAATTGAAAACTCCAACCTTCTAGGCTTTTGTTTGTATACTTTAGCAAATATTTTAAACCTTGGTAGAGGCAGAAACATCCAGCGACGGTTTTTTAATAAAAAAATCAAGACCTCATATCCGAATTGTACACCTAACAAAAATTTCCTATTGAACGAACAATACAGGGAATTGTTTGACGAGATACAAAATTCTTTTAATCTCGAAATCGCTCACGTCAGCAAATTTGATGAAAAGCTGATAGCCATAAATAAAAATTTATCTATGTGTATTTTTATAAAAAAAATCCTGCAACGC